CGCTGATGCATAAATCTTGTTGGCGACGGACAGGTATGTATGGTAGGTACTCTACATACATCCTACGCCACACACACACACACACACGTGATTCACCGTTTTGTGACGCCTTTTTTCCTCTCTTTTTTTCTTTTTTTTTCCTCTTCCCTTTCTGGGAATCTACGGCGTACTACAGTAGTTATCCTGGTAGGCTACGGGTTGCCGAGACCATAGGTACATGGCTGAGTCCATTGTCTCTGTGTGTGCATTGATACATGCTGCATGTACCTACCTCACAATGGCCAATGATGCCAATGCCAGTCGATCAGGATGAGCTAGGTAGACCACCTAGTGTGAACAGAGTAGGGGAGGCTACCTGTGCGCTCACAGTACCTATCAAGTATGTGTGCATAGTACGAGTCCGGTGTGGTAGGCATGGCCAGCCCGAGGCGCCCGATTGCCTGCATCACCCCGGTGTATGTACATACATGCATACGTATGGTACTCCAGGTACGTACATATACATTGCATGCAAATATGCCTCAAACCTGAGGCTACCTAGCACCCACCCTACATCGCTACTCTACACCCCCCATCACCGCCTCTCTCTCCCTACACGCTGTTCACCCCCTTGACTCGCCACTAGCTATTCATCTACTGTTTGATCATGGGACTGCCTAGTACTGACCATCTACGCACATACTATCCAAGGTACCTATGTATAGCTACGCCCAGTTTCACACGCACGCGCGCACTCCTCCTCCTCCTCCACCACCTCCTCCTGCTCCCCCCCCCCCAGCAATCGATAAGCAGCGGGTGCACCTCCCACTTCACCCGAAGCCCTCGTCTTACCCAGCATGGACTCTAGCTACGGTACCTACTGATACATGCCAACCCACGAGCATCCCATAGCATACCAATCATCCTGTAGTTCCTGTACCTCTCCATCTACACACTACCTGACCGACCTGCTTCCTCCCTTCCCCTCTCATCCTACCCTCACGTCTCGCGCCTCTGGCCAGCCAGTCTGACCCATCACATGCTTACCTACTGCCCTCTTCCCTGGCCGCTGCAAACAAATCCCATGGCCGCTCATTCGAGATGCCACAACCACACAACCGGAAGACTGCCGCACCAGTACAGCAACTCATCCGAGCGTCGCCCCGACAGAGGCCGAGCTTCACGACGCGTTGGCGGCTGTGGCTGACCAGGGTCTTGCCTGCCCACTCTTCGCCCACCTGAAACCAAGAGCGCGTCCGGCCACCCTGTCCACGCTCGACCTTCTTCTTGCCCGACCCATAGTGCCTACCATCTGCTCCCCGTCCTGCGCCTTTTACTACGTACATCCCACTGTCCCTTCCATACATCCCCAGCTCGCTGCGAACAGGTGGGAAACCCGGGAGATGACCTCACCGCATCGTCCCTTTCTTAGCCGCCGACCGCCCAGACCGTCACGGTCAAGGTGAAAAGTCGAGAGAGCGGCGTGACGTAAATGGCGACGGCACACAGACATGGAACCCCTGTCCAAAGGTCAACGGTGTCCGTGTCCGCTAGATCTTCGGCTCACGCTCTCTGCTCTCGTCGGCTCTGCAACCCTCGAATGAAACCCAAGAGCCGTGAAACACGTCTCTTTTTTCGAGAAGGATGCACCGAAGCTTTGCGCTGCTGACTTGTTCACTCGCCATGTCGACTGCACACTGATATGCCGATCGGCTACTGCACGGCAGCAGCAGACAGCGTCGCGCCAATGTCTTGTTGACGGCCACGGTTGCATTCGACTAATTCCTGTTGAGTCGTCTCGTCCAGTCAACGCATGCATCCCGTTTGGTGTCCTCTGCTTAGCGTACCTGGTTGTGATGCCGCTCCGAGGTCGACGCTAATCGACGCTCAATGCGGCAAACCGGATGTTGCTGACTCGATTCCGAAACCTGACACGCCCTGATGATGTTCACGCAATTCCAAGATTGATTGCCAGTCGGCACGGCGTGCTCGCCATCGGCCCTGTGTCTCTGCTGAAATTGGGAACCGTGTCAAGACCGGTCTTTGATGACCCTTGCACTGCCCGTGCTTCACCGACCGAGATACGATGCTGAGCAAAGTATGTAGAGTACCTGCCTGCACGCTGCACACCGATGTCGACTTGAACTTGCGCGGGAGTCGCATCTCATTCCGCGCATGGCCCAATACGAAAACGCACCGTGCAGGCAAAAACAGCCGAGGCTTCATCCATTCACGATGCCTCAGTAAGAGGCCCGACAAAGCTGCGAAAGGATGCAAGAGAATTTTTCTTAGGAAAGGCGCCCTGGTCTTAGCAGGTCCTGGTTGTGCCAGCGAGCGGACATGCGTTGTGGCTGGAGGAGAATGCCGTTAGACTGATTAAGACCCCACGCCATTCGCCCTCGTTTCTCCCACCGTTGCCGTCCTCGTCGCCGACAATGCAGGCCAATCTTGCACGCTTTCTCAATGTGACGCCAGGGTTCATTGTTTGGATGAAAGCATGACGAAGCGCCTGATGCTTTAGTCGCGACCACCGACCCTGCATGTGTGCGCGCAATTCAATCTGCTCGTCACCATGGCGCGAAAGCTCTCGTGGATGTCAGAATAAGCTCAAGTCCCACCTGCGGTTGCGCTCCCGGATCTGGGTCTTATGAGACCCGATAGTGGGCACGAAGGTGGGCTGTCCGCTGACAGCCTGCCTTGATCCCAACGAGGAAGGGCCAGCGAGGCGCAAGCGGGAAATGTCGTGCATCGTTCGCCGACCCACTTCCACCGGGAGCCTCTTGGCTGCGAAATAACTTGTGCAAAGCGTGCGCCCTCCCTGGCCGCTCAAGAGTCACCACAAAGGCCGCGACGGCGATGCACTTTGACACTCACCTATCGCGACCACGTTGGAGACGCCCATCGTACGATCTGACTCGTGCCGGCATCGTTGGCCGGACGCCTTAGTGTCATTGTTGAGCAGCTGGCCGATCCCAAGCGGATGACTGCCTCCGTCGGCGTGTCGGCCTCCCTGGCTCGAGTTTCGAAATGTAATGCGCACCGTGACGAGATCGGCGGAAAGACTGATTCTGGCAAGCTTCGCAGCGCATAACGTCACAGTCTACTGACCGTGGCATGGAAGAGATTAGCGGTGAAAGCTAATGATTACTCTATGTACAAGGTAGAGAGTACCACATGTCTGGGTCAATGAAGAAGGCTTGGCTTGGTACACAGTCCTTTGGTTAGAGTACTGAGGTCGGGAGGAAGAGAGGAAGAGAGGAAGAGAGGAAGGGAGGGGGGGTGGAAGCGGAGCTCGGATCTATATTTGGCCGGGGTCAGCAGGAGGGTCCTGTATCGGTCCCACACGTCAAGTGCAGTAGGTACAATAGATACGATAGTAGAGTAAGACGATCTATGATCTCTAGACCTGGCATTCGATGACCCTCAAGTTGCCCGTGTCCATGTTTCGACAATCGTGATCTTGCCCTATTGTGATGAGATATACTGTACAAGTATGATGGAAAGGTCGATGAACCATGACGCTGGAGCTTTCGAGAAGATTCAAGCCCTGCCCTTGAAAAATAAAACCTGGGGAAAGAGCAACCCACGACTTCTTCATGTTCAAACGTACCGATTTACCATGGAAAAACGAACTCTTATCGGTTTACCCATGACTGAGCACAGATGAGAACAACGAAGCTACTATCGCACGCTCTTGGAATCCAAGTCTGGCGTTTACAACGTCTGCAAAACTCCCACGTCGTACTACCGTCTTTCACCACGTGTCCTCGCACGCCGACGCGCCCAATGGCGAGCTCAAGTCGAGATACAAACGCAAGCCAAAACACGACATCAAACCCAACCCCAGACCCATCTACCCAGCCAGCAAGCCCAGAACCAAACACCCCCCTCCCCCTCCCCTCCCCGCAAACCGCCCCAGACAACCCCACCACCACCCTCACCCCCAATGCCCCCGCCATCAAACTCGACCACCTGGGCCCCCTTGTCGTCAACAAAGACGGCACCCTATCGCGTATTGCGAACTGGCAAAGCATGGCGGAAATCGAGCGCCAGAACACGCTGAGGATTTTGGGGAAGCGGAATATGCTGAGGAGGGAGGAGTTGGAGAGGGCGGAAAAGGAGAAGGGGGAGGGGAAAGAGGGCGATGAGGAGGGAGGGTCAAAGGGATTGAGGGGTAATTAGGAGGGAAAGATGGGCTGGGGAGGATGATGAAGCATGCCATTTCACGCCTCTTCGCAGGCTAGACGTCGCATGAGATATGAAGCAACGGAAGAACATTCAAGTTGAGGTCTGCCTTTGATCTTCCTGTGGGAATGCATTAGGACACGTCATCCTCCTCTTTTCCACAAAACTACAACAACACACAACACAAGCTGTGGTACGCAGATATACAAGTCGAATCGGGTTGATATATTGTTTCTAGAGGATGTTTATTGTAGATTGGACAGGAGGGAGCGGAATATGCTTGTGGGGAAGGTTGGAGTTGGAATGTTGTTCTGCATATATTATGGGCATCACACATGTAAACGCACAGAAAAACCGTGTTATTATAACGTGGGCGGTCAGGAATGCGCATGTTTGGTTAGTATAGTACGTGTTTCCGAGAACAATGTAGCTGGAATTTTTTTGAGAGCTGTTAATCGTATGCTGTGACATGATATGGGTGGAGGCACGAATTGCAGATGCAGATGGTGGTCGAGTAGGATAGATTCGTGCAAGTGGAACGAAGTTGAACTGTTTGAAAATGTATTGTCTACTATTCACATATGCACAGCCTATGGCTTCTGAGTTTTAGTGTGAGTGGCACGCTCATGGTACTCCCACTGCGCGAGCGGGGCTTCCTCGACTAGTGGCTCCCAACTAGCTGGTGTGTCAGTGTGACGCCCATGAAGGGAGAGAATACGGGGGTTGACCTACACCTTAGCTGCAATCATGGTGTCGACAAGCTTGTGCTCGCCCTCAGCGACCTGTATGACCTCCTCGAGGAGACCGGCGCCAAGTTGGCTTTCCAAGTCTGAGATGCTGCGAGGTGTCAGCACTTTTCCGTCCACGCCCAAGTACGAGACGGAACGAGGATGAAGACTCACGCTTCGGCGGTGTATTGTGGCTCAGGAGGAATCTTAGCAGTGGAAATGGCTCGCTCGGGTGTGTAGGTAGCGTCGCCTTTCATCCGCTTCACATCGGCCTGGCGCTCCTTGACGGTCCTGATGCCCTCGGGGAAGGTTCGCACCTTCTCTCCATCCCATTCGGCCGCCTTGTCCCGCTCATCAACTTCTCGTTGTGACTTGAGGACGACCGTCTGTCCCGATGAGGTCTCTATGATGCTGTAGTTGGTGATGTCCTCGTCAATCAGCATCCTGACCCTGTCCTGCCATTCCTTCCAGCCCTGCGGTTCGGATTTCTCGATGATTTGCAGACGGTGCTTGGTGAGCGCTTCGGTGGATTGGCGGTACACAGACGACTCTGGTATCTGCTTGAGCTTGTCCAGCGTGGAGGTGTAGTGGTAGAGCAATGCGGAGCGCGGCGATGGGTGCGTGAGGAGGCCGCAGAGACCCGTGGGTGCGCCAACCTCGAGAAATTGGCCTGGCTTGACGCTGGCCAAGAGCCGTAGAGCTGCCCTCATGTTCGCGGCGGAGTGGAAGGGCTGGGGTTGTGGCGCAATGGGGCGTGGGGAGGACAGGCAAACAAATGGTGGTGGTGATGGCGACGTCAAGGACAAGCCGCGCCTGCCAAGCGTGACGGCCGACTCTCCACTGGCTCGTGTATGGATGGTCTGGCATTCCAAGGCTGTCAATGGATCGTTCAGGGCCACACCAAGGGTCGAGGCAGGGTCCCGGTGTCCCGGTCCGAAAGTCTGAACACCTTCAAGACACGACACAGTTTCTCTAATTTCCCTTTTCGTGTGTCAGCAGCGACCCCTCTGACCACCTGTGCACCCAAAGTACTGCGCAGTGCCAGGTACCACGCATCTCTCCCGCTGTGGCTCTGATACCTATCGCTCACCTTCACCTGCGCCCCTCGACGCCTCACGTCCACACGCCCCCTTGGGTAGTACTCACCCGCCCTCTGCCAACATGCGTTCCCTTTTCTATTCACTCTTGTCGCTGGCGACGATTGCCTCTACTCTCGCAGTGGAGACATCAACTGGCGCCACTCCCTCCAAAGCTGCTGCGAGCGATGACTGGGAGGAGAAGGCGCCGGACACCATCTTCAACGGCCAGACAGTCCCACCCATGATAGAGTTGACCAAAGACACTCTTGACAAGGAGATTGCCAAGGGCCACTGGTATGGCGCAGTCACATAGAGTCGTGTTGTCTACTGTGCTAATCTTCATGCCTATAGGCTGGTCGAGTTCTATTCGCCTTACTGTGGACACTGCAAACAGTTCAAGCCTATCTACCAAACCGCCTACGAATTCTACTACACTTCCAAACCCATCTTATCCCAGGACGACAGCGACGCCGATAGCCTCAACTCCTTCACCAGATATTATGACTTCAAATTCGCAAAGGTGGACTGCGTGGCTTTCGCTGACTTGTGCAATGCGCATAATATTGGCAGCTATCCGACCCTGATCTATTACGTGGATGGCAAGGAAGTGCAGATAGAGAAGGGATCTAGGGATATAAAGGCTCTCAGCACCTGGATTGAATCGCTTCTGAAGACCATTCGCCCCGGTTCGCGCAAGGAAGGTGGGCCCAAACTGCCAGCGCCTGGCGCAAATTCCGTCAAGACTGGGCTGGATACCGAGGAAGCCTCCAAGGGAGAGAAGAAGGACAACAGGAAAGAGGCTGTGAAGCAGTCAGCCAGCAAGCCAGCAGGAGCCACTACCCCTACACAGTCTGCCAAGGCGAAGCCAGCAAAAGCGAAGCCAACATCGAATGCGAACCCTTCAGGTGTTGTCGAGGCTCTGACAGCAGAAAAATTCCAAAAGGTCGTTGTGAACACGCTCGATCCGTGGTTTATCAAGTTTTACGCCCCGTGGTGTCATCACTGTCAAGCGCTCGCGCCTGTTTGGGTAAATCTGGCACGTCAAATGCGTGGCAAGCTCAATATCGGAGAAGTCAATTGCGATATCGAGAAGAAGCTCTGCAAGGAGGCTGGCGTTAAAGGCTATCCAACCATGCAATTCTACCGTGGTGGCGAGCGCATCGAGTATCAGGGCATGCGGGGGCTTGGCGATTTGATGGATTACGCCGAGAAGGCCATGGTCGTTGGGGAAGGTGTACCCGATGTGAATGCAGAAGAATTCGAGAAGCTGGAAAAAACTGAGGAGGTCATCTTCGTCTATTTCTATGACGTAGCAACTACCTCTGAAGATTTTCAGGCTCTCGAGCGTCTCCCTCTCAGCCTGGTGGGCCGCGCAAGGTTGGTCAAGACCAACGACAAGGCCCTGTGCGATCGCTTCAAGATCTCTACTTGGCCCCGCTTGATGGTATCTCGTGATGGCAAACCATCTTACTACCCACCAATGACCCCCAAGGAAATGCGCGACACCAGACAGACTCTTAACTGGATGAAGACTGTTTGGCTTCCCCTTGTTCCAGAGCTCACCTCTTCAAATGCAAAGGACATTATGGAAGGCAAATTTGTCGTCTTGGGAATACTGAGCAGAGATCGCTCTGATGAGTTTATTTTATCCAAGCGTGAGATGAAGAGCGCAGCATTGGAGTGGATTGACAAACAGGAAACTGCCTACCAACTCGAGCGCCAGGAACTGCGCGATGCTAAGCAATTACGCATCGAGGAGGCGGAAGACAAAGACGATCACCGTGCTCTGGCAAATGCCAAGTCTATCCGCATTAACATGGATGAGATTGAACGTGCACAAGTCACCTTTGCCTGGGTAGACGGTGTCTTCTGGGAGCGCTGGATCAGACAAACGTATGGCATTGATGTCAAGGAGGGTGAACGGGTCATTATCAACGATGAAGCAGTAAGTTTTCCTCCTTTCATGGATTTGTTCTTGGCTGAGACCTGCAGAACCACCGCTACTGGGATACCACCATCTCTGGCGAACCCATCCGCCCCAGCCGTACCTCTATTATGGAGACTCTCGGCAAGGTGACAGTCAACCCACCGAAGATTACTCCCAAGTCGACCACCGGCCGTTTCATGGGCGCTATCCTCACAACACGTCACTTCTGTGGTCATCACCCCTTCATCGCTCTTGGCATGTTTGTCGGCTTCTTTACCGCCGCTGTGCTCTTTGGCAAGTCGAGACGGAGAAGGTCCTTTGGGAACACCGGGGCCTACTTCCAACTGAACGAGAAAGATGGGTTACTTGGTGGCAACGGAAACCATGGAGGCGCCAAGCACGACTAACTACCGTGATGGTTCGATGGGGGTTTGACATGTCGAGGCGTTGGGCGTTGCATTGGCGTGCGTATTGTGTAGTATACCTTGGGTTCACTCTGTTTTGAAATGCGTATGCGGTTATGGATTAGCGCGGCATACGTTGATGTATGATCTTGGACTTTAGAAACCTTTTGCATGCCTGTACTTGTTTCATGTGCTCTTGTATCGATTCCGTAATTGGGACAGCGCGGCGGCAGACCATTGTGTGACAGTGACCAGGATCGTGATAGGTAAGAGATACCAGTCAGCTTCACGTGTTTTCGCGCCATAGTTCCCCACGCGTAGCAAGGACCCCACCACCCCACCCTCCGCTCTTCTGGCACAAGTATAAAGCTGCACACATGCCGCAGGCTTCATTGATCTCGTCCATACCACGCCTCACCTCCATACATCGCGGGCATCGCTCCAGCTTCTCAGCGCCACCTCTCTACCACCACATCCCCCCCTCGCGTCTCCACCCCCACACCGCCACCATGTCCTCTCTAAACCTCACATCCCTCGAATATATGACCCGCGAATCCCTCGCCTCTTCGATCCAAAACTCGCCTTCAGAGACCCTCCCAGACAAAACGGCGGTCATAGACGTGCGTGACTCCGACCACGTCGGCGGGCATATTAAAGGGAGCACATGGGTGCCCAGTAGTCAGTTAGACTATAAGACGCCGGAGCTGATACGGACGTTGAAGGATAAGGAGGTTGTGGTTTTCCATTGTGCGTTGAGTCAGCAGAGGGGGCCGAGTGCGGCGTTGAGGTATCTAAGAGAGAAGGAGAGACTGGAGGGTGGTGAGGCGGAGGAGGCTGCTGGGGGTGATGGGGGAGATGAAGGGGAGGGCAAAGAACAGAATACAAACAAGGCAAATAAGAAGGAGCAAAAGGTGTATGTGCTGAAAGGAGGATTTACAGAGTGGCAGGAGAAGTATGGCGAGGATAAGAAGTTGACGGAAGGGTATCAGAAGGATATTTGGGAGTTTGGGTACTAGAAGCCAGACAGCGTGATGGAGATCAAAGGTGATGATTTCCAAGAAGCAAAAGATTGTTGGCGTTTGAGCGATCATCGGAACCAGTATGAAATATGTAGCGATGGCGTACTGAGCTGAAGTGGGTGTTGTAGATTATGACATCATGATATGAGACAACATACAACAAACTGGATAGCCACAACACCAGTACCACTCTCCATTACACTTCAGTTTGACATCAACAGAGCTTTGAAGTTGATGTTGCAAAGATCTCGCAAGAAACATCTCGCGACCAAGTAAACATCAAGTAGTCGGTCCAGCTACCGAGCGTCGGCCATAGCCCCGACCTACCACTCCCACGCCTCATCTCTCGCGGACCCCCACCGGCATACCCAAACAGGCCTGTCTCCGCCCCAGCGCCCCTCAATTCATCCGTTTGGAAACGTCATTTAAGCAGTATACCCCCGATCTTCTCAATGTCCCCTCCTAGGCGCGCCCTATTTTCACTGAATCTCGACACTGACGCTGATCACGTCCATCAACGCATTTCGCATCACAACAAAGACGGCGAAGACCGTGTTCGAGTTATTGAAACCAAGGGGCCAACGCATAGCCATACCGATCTATCCTACGTTACAAAGCCGTTTGAAAAAGCTGTAAACAGAGCTGTCAACGAAGTCGTCGACGGAACAGGGAAAAAAGTACATACCGCAGAAGGCCAAATATCCTACTCCAGCAGCTCTACCGAACGACGCAGAGACGGAAACAGTAGACTCAACATCATCAGCAAATCCAAGCGTCGCGCCTTGGAAAACAAATACGATACCTCGGAGTTGTAATCCAACCCATCACCATGTCCACAGACGCCAAACCCCTCCGCATCGTTGTCGGCTGCGACTCTGCTGGCGTATCCTACAAAAACGCCATCCTCGCCGACCTCAAAGCAGACAAATCCCGCATCTCCGCCGTCCACGACGTCGGCGTCCCTGCCTCATCCGACAACACCGCCTACCCACACGTCGCCATCGATGCTGCCAAACTCGTTGCAGCCGGCGAATACGACCGTGCGATCCTCATCTGCGGCACGGGACTGGGCGTTGCCATCAGCGCGAACAAGGTACCCGGCATCCGTGCCGTGACCGCACACGACAGCTACAGTGTCGAGCGCTCGATTCTGAGCAACGATTGCCAGGTGCTGTGTATGGGCGAGAGGGTGGTCGGACTCGAACTTGCAAGGCGGTTGGCCAAGGAATGGATTGGGTATCGGTTTGACCACACGAGTGCGAGTAAGGAGAAGGTCGAGGCGATTATGGAGCATGAGAAGAAGAACTTTGCCGCGTTGGAGAAGGAGCAGGGCAAAGGGGCGAGCTGTTGAGGCGAGGGTTTAATTGTGGAGGCCTGCGTTGGGTGTGAGAAGTGTTGTGGTTGTTGGTTGTAGGAAGAAAACGGACTGGCATGGCTTGGTTTGTTGAATTTGAATTCAACACTGGAATATGTGATTGATATTATTTCGAAAATGTTGCTCTGAAGACGATGTGCAGATTAGCTAAAAACGCCAGGCTGTGGAAAAAAGTCTCTTTTAATACTCATGCTCAGCTATGGTATATAAACCAACCACTACATTCCCACCTCTCCTATGATGTGAGCACTTCTATGAATTGATAAAACCAAAAACCAAAACTGTTCAGTTCATGTTTTGTTTTGTTGAGGAGTGTGACAGAATTCAATGGGCAACGGAGCCAGAGCCTCTCAGCCTCAGCCTAGGACATGGTTGCAATTTTTTACAATTGAGTGAAGAGAACAGTTCAGACCCATCAGCCCGAACTCGCTTTATTTTTCAGAATACGGGGATAGATGCGTGTGCTTCTGAGATCGAAAGCACGGATATGGAGATGGACGGGGTTTTAAGATGGTTAGCCGCTATTTTTGTTGGTGAAATGTGTGTATGCAAGAAGCTATTCACGAGATCAAAAGCTAGAAGAGATGGGAATGGAATATAGCTGAGTTGTGACAAGTTGGTCCAGGATAATCGAGTGTTGACGGATCGATGTCCTGATGTTCATGATGTTCATCTAGGTAGTGTGTGAGCCGAGCAGCCGCGGCCAAGAAAAGCTGGCGTTGGCCGGCGCCAATGTCCATGGGTGTCCTTTAGGGGAACAGCAAGCAGGGATGGGGAGTTGACAGGTGCCTGGCGCCATTGATGAGCGCATTGCTTACTGTTTGCTTCCTGCTGCTCCTCATCGTCTGCTCTAACCACGCCTGCCACTCTTCTGACTGAGAGCGCGTTGCGCCATATACTTCCGCTCCATATAGCATAGCTGATGAGACACAGCATGTGCGTAGAGAGCTGATGGGTGCTCTTCTCCCCTACCACACACACACACACACACACACACACACACACACACACACACACACACTTTTGTCCACGAAGTCATACGCTCTTATTAGCCACCGAGTCACCGAGCCACCGAGCCATTGTGAGACTGACAGAGCCAGCCTTGAAGTAGCCTGACAGCGCAGTCGCCACAATGGCCTCGGCAGCACAGCCTGGCGCTGCACAACCTGGACTGCCTACCACGGGTGAACATGAGCTCGAAGAAATGGCAGACAAAAAGGCCAGCCTGCCCATCGAGGAAGACGTGATGCAGTTGGCCCGACTGGGCGAGATTGGCGCGATCCAGAAGTTGTTTGATAGCGGGCGGTTCGATGCGACGTACAAAGATGAGCAGGGCATAACACCGCTACATGTACGTAGAAGAAGAAGATACACCGGTATAGGGAACAAAAACAGAGAGTTCAGACGGCGCAGATGGCTAACCGTGTTGCACAGTGGGCTGCTATCAATAATCACTACGCGCTCTGCCACTTCCTCATCCAAGCGGGCGCGCCCATCAACGCAAAAGGCGGCGATGCAGTCGCAACTCCTGTCCTCTGGGCGGCCAAGCGCTGCAACTACTACGTTGTCAATCTCCTCCTCGATCACGGCGCCGATCCCCTGCTCACCGACGACCAAGGCTTCAACCTCCTCCACTCGGCCACTCTCGATGGCAATGTCTACCAACTCGTGCTGCTGCTCCACCAGGACATACCCGTCGATATCCCCGATCCACAAAGTCACACGCCCTTGATGTGGGCAGCCTACAAAGGCTACTCGTCCTGTGTACATCTCTTCCTCCGATGGGGCGCAAACGTCTATGCGACCGACGACCAGGGCTTCACTGCCCTTCACTGGGCCCTCGTCAAGGGCAGCCAGGGCTCCATTCAGAAACTGCTCGAGTACGGCGCCGACCGGTTTGCAAAAAACAACGACGGCAAAACACCCGCTGTGACAGCAGAGGAGATGAACACGGTACGGCAGTGGCATCGCGCGCTCTCAGAAGCAGGCTTTGACCGCAATGGCAACCCCAAGGCCTTTCCCATTCCGGGCGTAAAGGACACGCGCTGGTTCCTCAGCCGCTTCATCTTCTTCCTGCCCTTTGTCATTGTCTTTCAGGCCTTGTTCTTGGTGAGCCATTACCCGGCCTTTGTGGGTATGCCGGCGGCGTTGATTATTGCTTATGTTTTGCAATTGGGAGCGCACAAACTGTTACAGTGGGGACCGTCGAATATGCGGAGTATACATCATTCGGTGAGTGGTCATGTCCTGGCAGAGGTACGCTGAGCTGGAAACTGACAGGGGGCAGCCTTTCTTGGCCGGCATATTTACTGGTACCTTATTTTGGGTTGGGCTAGGATGGGTCACGACAGTCATGCCATGTACGTCTTGCTCATCCAGACAACAGTTGTGTTACTGATCAGCCCAAGCGACGATACGAACCAACTTCTTTCTGAATCTCGTTTTTCTAGCCTTTTACGGCCTCACCTCGTTCTTCTACTTTTACACCATGACCTCCGATCCCGGTTTTGTGCCCAAATCGGCGAGCAGGAGCGCTTCCAAGGCGGTCATTGACGAGCTTATGGAATCACGACAATTTGATGAGAAGCACTTTTGCGTGAATTGCATGGTGCGGAAACCGCTTAGGAGCAAGCATTGCAAGAGATGCGAGCGCTGTGTCGCGAAGACTGATCAGTGAGTTTTGGACGAGGGACTGATGGAATGCCTACTAATTTGCCTAGCCACTGCCCGTGGGTCAACAATTGCGTTGCGAACAACAATCATCGACATTTTGTGCTGTATATATTATGTTTGGAAATTGGCATTGTCATGTTTGTGCAATGTGTACTTGCTTGTCAGTCCAGCCATCTTCCCATGATTTACGACCTCGGCTGACCTGAGTAGACCTTGAGGTTGTCGATAGCCCCAAAGATGTGACATGCGCCGTGCTCTCAGATGACCTCTGCAAGATTTACTACAAAGACCCCTTCACGATAGTCCTCGCCATATGGGCTGCCTTGCAATCAACATGGGTTACTATGCTGCTCTGCGTTCAGCTGCTACAGATTGCACGCAACCTCACCACATACGAAAGCATGCGTGGACACTTGGACAGTCACACCCCCGCCGACGCTCTGACCTCCTTTGTCACAACAGGCGACACAAGCCAAGACGTTTCGGGCTCAGCAGGCCATGCGCCCACCAATGGCTTCGGCTCCGGCCAGGACATTGGCGACATACCCAGAATCAAATCACCTCGAGGCTCAGTCTGGCAGCAATGGAAGCAGCTCCTCGGTCTGGATACCTTCCTTACCATTGCACTGCAGGGCTCACGCGCAGGTCAAACGCCATTCGCCCGACCACCACCCAAGAACCCCTTCTCCAGAGGCATCATCACCAATTGCAAGGATTTCTGGTGCGATGGCAGCCCAGTGTTTGGACGAAAGGAGGGCGGGTTTGCCAAATTAGGGGGCGAGCGCGTGGATTACACGAGGTTGTACGAGGTGCCAACGATGCGATATCAGAGTGGAGGGGCGGGAGAGGGAGGTAGATATGAAAGTGTGGCTGCAGAGGAAGAGGAATCATGATGATAATGATGGTCACTGTGGACTGTGTATATGATGATGATGATGATGATGATTCCTAATGTAGAATAAAACGAGAAGATGTTACTTACCTGCTTAAACCCGATGGTGAGAGTCTGGTCTCGAGTGTCCAACTGGAATGCCGGGTATATAAATGACGCCGGCGTTGGTGATGCCGAGATGCTGCAAAAGCCGAGGCGCGCAAGCGAGAATACCCGCGTGAGCCGCCCAGTCATCCCGCTCGTTCCCCCATGCTCGACTTGTGACTCTGGTCTCGCATCATGGAGGGTTTTTCTTTTTGGTTCTATACCCTACGAGCGTTTGCCATTGATGTTGTGATACTTTACATGACTTGCTTCCCCTTCTCTCAGCGCGCTTTTCAACCTTAGGAGGCTCTGCAGCCGAATCTTGGATATGACATCATCCGAAGCGCTGCAAGGGCTGCACAGGCTGTCGCGACAAGCGATGCCGAGGCCGCGGTGGACGGCGGTGGTGAGGACTGGCGGACGAGGGCCGGCGAGTGCGAGTGCGCGCAAATCCATATGTACAGAATGTGCGAGGAGAGGGGGAGAAGAAGGGTGGTCGACAGCGTCACGGCCGGTGGTTGCTGTGAGCAGAGGCAGGCCTGGGCGCATACTGGAGCGAGGGTCGTCTTTGCAGAGGGTGAACTGCAGAGGGTATGCGCAGGCCGCGCAATCTTGTATGTCTGCCATACTTGGATGGGCTCTGAGAGCGGCGGAATGCTGACTGTGGGTTGGTAGCTGTGCTTGCTGTGCAAGAAGAAGAAGAAGAAGAAGAAGAAGAGCCAACTGAGACGCATGGCCCAATGGCAGAGTACAATGCGCGTGTCGACTCTGGCCGATTGAAGGACGACGAACACCAGCGAAGTAGGGAGACTGCACGGTGAATGATGAATGAAGCAAAGAGCAAGTACTGAGACCGTCCCAGGCATCATCAAGAACCTCCAAGACCTCCACGACATGCTGAAAGACTACTCCCAACCGCCCGTCCAACAACCCACCATCGAGTCGCTACAACCCGCCAAAAAAGGCTTCTCCTCCTTGTTCTCCTTGTTCTCCTCCAGCAGCAGCAGCAGCAGCAGCACCTCCTCCGCGCTCCCCCCAATCCCAGAATCCCTTCCCAAGGGCATCTACATGTTTGGCGATGTCGGCTCTGGCAAGACCATGATGATGGACCTCTTCTACGACACCCTCCCCCCCAACATCACGCGCAAAACCCGCATCCACTTCCACGCCTTCATGCAATCCGTTCACAAGGACCTCCACAAGATGAAAGCCCAGCACGGCGCCGACATTGACGCCATTCCCTTTGTCGCCGCCGGCCTCGCCGCCCGCTCCACCGTCCTCTGCTTCGACGAATTCCAATGCACTGATGTCGCCGACGCCATGATCCTCCGCCGTCTCATCGAATCCCTCATGGCCCACGGCACCGTCATCGTCACCACCAGTAACCGCCACCCAGACGACCTTTACAAAAACGGCATCCAGCGCGAGTCCTTCATCCCCTGCATCAACCTTCTCAAACGCCGCCTCACCGTCCTCAACCTCGACTCCTCCACCGACTACCGCAAGATTCCCCGGCCTCCGAGCGGCGTCTACCATCACCCGCTCGACGCCTCGGCCACCACCCACGCCTCACGCTGGTTCCGCTTCCTGGGCGACTTTGAACACGATCCTCCGCATCCGGCCGTGCACTCCGTCTGGGGCCGCGAGATTGTCGTGCCCAAGGCCAGCGGCAAGTGTTGTTGGTTTACCTTTGACGAGATTATCGGCCGTGCGACGGGCGCGGCGGACTATCTCGAGTTGACGCGCACGTACGAGGCGTTCATTGTGACGGAGGTGCCGGGAATGAATTTCAGGACGAGGGATTTGGCGAGGCGGTTCATCACGTTTGTGGATGCTTTGTATGAGGCTAGGGTGAGTTTTTGTCTTCTTTTCATTTACATGCCCAGAATTCCTACATTTTTTCCCTTTCTCTCCATGACCCACGCGCCCACACCAAACCCCACCTAACAACCCACAACCCAGGCCAAACTCGTCCTCACCACCGCCGTCCCCCTCCCCTCCCTCTTCATGGACTCCACCGAACTCTCCGACGCCATCTCCTCCGCCCAAACCGCAAACCCCAACGACAACACCGAACCCGTCTCCGACGTCATGCGCAACCTCATGGACGACCTTGGCATGAACATGGCCATGCTGAAGAATAGCAGCATCTTCTCCGGCGACGAAGAGCGGTTTGCGTTTGCAAGAGCGCTTAGTCGGTTGGCGGAGATGGGGAGCCAGGAGTGGGTGGAGAGGGGTTTGGGGTTGGAGAGGAGGGGTGGGAGGGCGGAGATGGAGGCGTGGAAGCGGGAGAGGGGGGAGAGTTGAGGAGGGTTATGTAGAATATAGTGTACTGTGTAGGAAACTTCTTGGAGCTCTTTTTCATGTGCCAAATCCTGCTTTTGCAAAATGTGGCTTCGTTTGGAATGCCGCAGTGCATGGAATACTGACTGCTCAAGATGGTGGGATGCGTTTCGGCTGGTTTGTATTAGGCTGCTGGATGCGGTTTCTTGCGGAACCGGAATCCCCTTGAGGAGGAGGGGGCGGATGGTGTTATATTTCAAAACGACCTCCACCAAGAGTCTCAAAGTGTACTCTAGCCAAACTATGCGATTCCACCCCCAGTATCCCTTGCCACACATTCAATCCTCTTCGCAACCGACTCGGCAAACTCCTGGGTGATTGCGCCTGCAAAAATTTCAAATGTGCTGGTCTTGGCTTTGGGGATGCTGATCTAGTCGGTTGCTGAAGTCTATGGTAACTGCTATGTGATGTGACGCTGGTGCTGGTCAGAGTACTGCTTGTGTAGATGGTGTTGTTTTTCTAGGTTGAATGGTTTGAGAAGATTGGATACCGGCGGATCCGTAGCCATCTGTTATGATATTACTTTTTCGCATGAGAAGCTGGCACGGCTGACAAGGGAGAGATTTGCATATCGACGTCCTCTGGGACCTGTCGAATCATCGAATTGGCAGTGGCGAGATCCCATGTCTCCCAAGCCACTGAAGGTCTGGTAAGTAGAGTCTAGGCTGTGTAGCTCAAAAAATGATTCAGTCTGGCGGTAAACACGGACGTTCTCACCTAGGGCTGGAAGCACCACAGTGTTCCCAGGGGCGCTCTTACTTCGGACCTGTTGTTCCACTCTGTCCACCTCCGCGAGCTGGAAGACGTTGATGTATGTTTTCGCCGTAGCCTTTTTGTATTGAAAAAGCTGCATTTATCTACCCAACGCCTCTGCGCATGATTTCGCCTCTCAAGTTGCGGTATTGATGTTAAGATCTGTCATAGACACACCACAGGTAAATCGTAACACATCAAGCTGCCCCCAACTTTCCACAGCAGCCATGATAATTTGCAAGAAACGACCAAATGGCGCAATACGAGCAATAGCCTGCTGACCGACTTCAGCGCTGCACCAACTCCATGGTGGTTAGGTAGTTTGCGACATCAACCAGCCCATGGAAGTGCAACAATCATCACGCTTATTTATGTTGAGATAGGATAGCGGTTTATACATTTGAAAACGACTTATTCTGTGGTACAAGTGTTTTACTCCATACCAAAGACAAAATCTAGAGGGATTGGAAGTGCACATTCTAGACTGACAAAGTCCATGAGCCGCCCAAATCGGGAAGAGCACTTGCAATACGCGTTCTTGGATAAGTCAAAGATGAGTTTGAAGGCACTGACGTAAGGAGAGTGGAAGACTTTCGCAAGGCATGGCGCAGGTGGAAAAAAGCTGATCATCTTCAAATAAGGCTATTTGTGTTTTGTGATTGCTAAGTTGCTTTACCTAGCAGTGTTGACGGCTCTTGCCATGTTTCCCAAGGACCTTTGTATCCGCTGCATTTCGTAGAGCTAAGTACAGATCTGATTGAACGTCCCAGACCGATTGGCCATGTTGTTTATCATTTCCCACATGGTGATAACCCTAGAAAATGTTGTCTCTCTTGTTTCAAGGACTGAGTCGTAACATCAGCAGATTAATTCGAGCTAAGAGGTAATTCAAGTCGATTAGTAAAAGAAGACAGTTGTATATAAAAATATAGTGATATTTAGGGCTCAGTGTATAGAAGCTCATAGAATGTTTCTGAGAAATATTGCATATCAACTTATGCCAGATTTAGTGTAAAATCTTTAGATTTAGAGGAAACCATAGCTTGTCAGAAAGATTGACGGAGCATGGTATTGGAGCTTGATCAGAAAGCTGTCAAACTTGCATCGTACTATGAGGGACCACAGTGGGTGCTCTTCAGACTCAGGGGGGAGAGAACTACGAATATATTCAGGCAGCTGGATATTCTTTCTCTCAGCAATGACATTCTTGAAGTGAGTAACAGTAGATTTTATGGTGTTGGATTTGTGTTGCAGAACAAGGAATTTCAAGTTGTGGGCCTATAATCACAAAACAGGGGCTGAGCCACAGTCAAAAGAAGTTTCTGGGAACGCAACCGACAGATAGAGGCCCATTCCGGTGTCTTGCAGAACTATTTTGAAGTGAAGGTATGGAAAAACTTGCTAAGATTTGGGGAGCGTCTGTGTATGGATGCTTGTGTTCAACTGATGGGCTCTAGTGATAGTAGAGAAGCAGAAGCTCCGAATATACTGAAAGGACGCTCGGCCTCTAAGATCCGGGAAATCTGGCTTTCCCAATACTGTTCCCACCGGAGTGGTAATGCACTCAAGTCTCACCATCCCTGGTGTTCGCATGTATATAAATTGTTCTTGTAAGCTTTGAACTTCCCATTTTTATCCTTTCTTTCCATGTCCGATTCCATCACGTTATATTAAACAGGCCGAGGTTCATTCACGAAACCTTGCCTCTTCTACCACATCGCTACTGACACCATGAAAGCCTTGAAAGTACAACAACCTGGACTGCTCGAGGTGCTCGATGTGGAACGTCCCAAAATTCGTCCAGGCTTCTGCCTTGTCAAAGTTCAGGCGGTGGCGCTGAATCCAACGGATCACAAGCACTTGCACTACATCAGCTGCGAGGGCTGTACTTTGGGATGCGATTACGCAGGAATTATCGAAGAAGTCCGCCCAGGTTCGTCTCTCAAGAAGGGGGATCGTATATTTGGATTTCTTCATGGAGCAAATCTGGAGCACCCTGAAGATGGTGCATTCTCGCAATACACTCTTGTTAGAGAGGGTCTCCAAGCGATTATCCCGAAGAGCCTGAGTTTTGAACAAGCTGCAAGTCTGGGAGTAGCCATCACCACGGTGGGCATGGGTTTGTGCCAGACGCTCCAGCTTCCCTTACCAGGAGACCGATCTTCCGAGAACACATCTGTTTTGATATATGGTGGTAGTACTGCAACTGGTACTATGGCTATACAGATCGCCAGACTGTAAATCTTACCTCATAACCTTCTGCCAGAAGAGGTGCTAACACATTCTAGGGCTGGGCTAGACGTCATTACAACTTGTAGTCCCGCCAACTTCGCACTGGTGAAGTCGTTAGGCGCTTCTGTGGCCTTTGACTACAATGATCCAAGATGCGCCGAAGACATCTTCAAACATACCCGCGGGCAATTGTATCATGCTTTAGATTGTATTTCAGAGGGCAAGTCAGTCGAAATTTGCTCTGAGGGACTGTCGAAAGATACAGCAGTTCAGCCAGCGCGGTACTGTTCGACACTTCCTGTGGACTTTCCCCGCAAGGACGTAATTTCCACGTTTATCCTCGCATACACAGCTGTCGGAGAGGCCTTTCACAAAATTATAGATCATCCTGCCAATGTTAACGACTATAATGCGGCTAAGAAGTTCTGGGGCATTTGTCAGTCGCTGATAGACGCAGGAGAGCTGAAGAACCATCCTATTGAGATAAGAGACGGGGGCTTGGATAGAATCCACGAAGGGCTTGCGGATATGAAAGAGGGACGGGTTCGGGCGAAGAAGCTTGTGTATCGTATTGAATAACTCTTCGATATTGTCTAGATACAGCTCAAACTTTCAATGTTAGAATTTATGAACATCGGCCGGTGAGATTGTTGCGGATGTATCTCGTGAATAATGTGCAGAGATGTATTCCTCGACAGGGGTGAGATGAAGAGGATCAAACATAGATTGGGCAGGGAAGTGGATAGAAGCAACTCCCTCCCAAATCTGCCTGTGCTGCATCTTGAAGTCAACTTCTATGTATTGACGTATGTGAGGCGTCTTTTCGGGCATGGGTGAAGGAATTGAGCGCAAAAAAAGAAGATTATGTTCTGGTTCGGCGTGTTCTTCGATATCCAAGAGCACAGTGGGTTTGAAGAGAACTTCTACGATGGGAAAGCTGCTGGGCCGACACACGCGCCCGTGAAAGAAACCGCTCATCCCATCAGGCTGAGTGGGGAAGTTGAACGACCCTAGGACTTTCGGTGCGCCCCAAAGCTCTCTTCCAGAATATGCGGCGTCTTCATTGTCTAGGATTATGAGGAGTGAGTAGTCGAATTTGCGACCTTCAAATTCGACTTCTACACTGTGAAGAAACTCGTGATATGGGCCGATAGGAGAGCAACCGTATGACACTAGGCGTGTTGTGATGACTGGCTTCTCCTCAATCGTCAGATTTTCCGGGATTAAAGGTTGAACGCTAGATCCATTTGTGCGGTATTTGATAAGGATGCAGTTGATATCAGAAAACCGTGATGGAAAGGCGGCCGCTCGATAAGGTGGCGCAAATACAGGAGCCGCGTTGTTTGATGCAGAAGGAGGGAGGCTTCCAGTGAGAACCATGACGAGTAGGTCGAAATTTGGAGTAGTTGATCTGTGAAAAATGGATGATGAGCATTGAGCGCTTGTGTCAGCTTTTAACTAGACTGTGACTAGATTGTTCGAAGTGCTAAACTCCTTGTACATTACCTGGGCCTGTACACATCCAAGCAGATTCTACAAAAGCTAGCATAGATTCTAGGTCTACTATCGAAAAATTTCAATGATATTTTTCCTCGTAGCTGACCCATGGGGTTAGTACGGAATCTGCTCTTAAGAGCTGGTATATGAGCATTGAGAATGTCGCGTAATCACTAAAGCTCTTTACTCGCCAAAAGTTTGCCTGCAAATAAGACTAGTCATACTTCGAAGGGCTATATCCCATGCGCCACGATTTGTGGTTAGCAATAGGCATTCCTCTAAAATACGTCTCAGGGGAAATACCTTTACAAAGCAGGAAAAGTACTAGATAATACCACAATAGGTACTCTATGCTCTGAAGCTATATAACTATATCACTTCCATTCGGTAATGCCAAATGTAAATCTCTTTGAACGCTATCTTACGATTGAAGCAGCTCATTCTCCACGACCCCATCCGACTTGAGACTGAATTGAATTCATCATATATAAATCGACTCAATCTCTTGATACTTAGTTTTGCTGCTAGAAGTTCGAATCTGCGCTCTTCTCATCATGCCGGCCGAAAATCAAGAAAGGTGTCCAGTGGTACCCATAGCGGTCGTGGGAATGAGCTTTCGAGGCCCCGGGGACGCCACAAGTACTGAGAATCTTCTGCGCATGGTAGCTGAAGGCCGCGAAAGCCGTTCACCAATACCGAAGGAAAAATGGAATCACGATGCATTCTATCATCCAGATCATAGCAGACATGGAACAGTAAGATATCTGCCATCCGATTCAGAGACAGAGTCTCTGTTGACCAGACATTAGCACAACGTGGAGTATGGACATTGGTTTCAGCAAGATGTTTACACATTCGACGCCCCATTTTTTAACATATCAGAGTCCGAGGCGGCTGCTCTAGATCCACAACAACGAATGCTGCTTGAGTGTTCATACGAAGCCTTTGAGAACTCGGGAATTCCAATGTTCAAGGTTGTGAAATCAAACACATCGGTATTCACCGCTTGTTTTGCTACAGACTACACCGACATGCTTTGGAGAGATCCAGAGAGCGTGCCGATGTATCAATGCACAAACTCAGGTCACTCACGCGCAAATATGGCTAACCGCATATCGTACACTTTTGATTTAAAGGGACCTAGTGTCACAGCTGATACGGCTTGTTCTGGGGGCTTGACTGCTCTTCATCTGGCTTGTCAGAGTTTACAGACTGGAGATGCAACACAGGCAGTCGCAGCGGGATCCAGTTTGGTACTGGGCCCTGAGCTCATGACTACAATGAGTATGATGAGGTAGGAATTAACTGTCCTTTTTACTTGCACTTGCGATTATGGCTAATTCTACAAGATTTTTGTCACCCGACGGGAGGTGCTACACATTTGATGAGCGTGCAAACGGCTATGCTCGTGGTGAAGGTGTTGCTGTTCTTGTTTTGAAGCGCTTAGAAGACGCAATCGCAGAGGGCGATACCATCCGGGCGGTCATCCGTGGCACAGGTTGCAATCAAGATGGAAAGACGGCGGGCATCACGATGCCCAACGGCCAGTCACAGAAAGAATTAATTCGATCTGTATACGAAAAGACTGGCCTTGATCCACTGGAAACTTCTTACGTGGAATGCCACGGAACTGGCACCCAAGCCGGAGACGTTACCGAAACTGCTGCGATCAATGCCATCTTTTGCCCTGGTCGACCATTAAGTAAGCCGCTGATGATAGGCTCAGTTAAAACGAATGTCGGACATTTGGAAGCAGCCAGTGGCCTCACAGGCGTGATCAAGTCTATACTCATGTTGGAGAATGAGATAATTCTTCCAAACCGAAATTTTGAAAACGCTAATCCCCGAATCCCACTCGAAGACTGGGCACTCCGGGTAAGTCATCTAATAACAAAGTGTTATTCTAGCCACTACTTACAAGTATTCATCAGGTACCCACGGCCATCGAGCCTTGGATAAGCTCGGGGCCTCGTCGTGCATCGGTTAATAGCTTTGGCTATGGTGGAGCGAATGTTCACGCCATTCTCGAAAACACAAGAGACTTTTTGGCTGCACGCGCTATCAATTCTACTAATTTCACTCAGAGATCTGCACTTGCTGTGAAGGCAGTTCAAGCAGCTCTTGCCAATGACACCGCAAATCGTGATGACATCACAAACGGCAATGGCCTCACAAATGGGAATGGCCTGACGAACGGTAACAGCATCACAAATGGAATTGGCTTCACAAATGGAAATGGCCTCACAAACGGCGACTCGAACGGTAACGGAAGAATCGGCTATACCAATGGCCATTCACAGAGCAACGGGACTACAAACGGTAACTTACTAAAAGTCAATGGACACAGTCAGGACACCAGCCACCGCGAAGAAATCGCAAGCCACTCTGACAACGGGCCTCGAATATTCACACTCTCAGCCTTTGATCCCATAGCCGGAGCCGCCTGGTCTCGCAGACTTGCCGAATACGTTTCGCAAAGAGAAGCCAGCGCCGATGGAGAATTCCTCAGCAGCCTTGCCTACACGCTCAGTGATAGACGAACTGTGCACCCATGGAAGGCCACCGTGACTGCATCTTCTAGCCAAGAGCTAGTCTCGAAACTCGAAAAGGTTAATTTTGTCAACGTGCCTGCACGACAAAGACTGGGGTTCGTGTTCACAGGTCAAGGTGCACAGTGGTGTGGCATGGGCAGGGAGCTCATAGATGTCTCTCCACGGTTCCGAGAGAGCCTTAAAGCATGCGGAGAAGCACTAGAACGAATGGGAGCCCCCTTTGACGTATTAGGTATGTTGTTCTTGGCTTTCGATAGCAAAAAAAAAAATGGCTGATGGTTTTGCAGAGGAGCTACAGCAAGACTTTGAGATTTCGCAGATGAACAAGGCATTATACAGTCAGCCTCTTTGCACCGCATTGCAAATCGCGCTGGTGGATATGCTCGCCTCTTGGGGCATACGCCCCGAATCTGTCACAGGACATTCTAGCGGAGAGATTGCCGCTGCGTATGCTGCTGGGGCGATTAATCTCGAAGATGCCATGCTTGTCGCGTACGAACGAGGCCGTGCATCATCGAAGCTCACCGAAGAGGGCATCAAAGGCGCCATGACAGCGGTAGGTATGGCCAGAGACGAGATCATACCAATACTTGCAGGCCTTCAGAACGGAAAAGCTGTGGTGGCCTGTTCGAATAGCCCCTCAAGTACAACCGTCTCGGGAGACAAGAGTGCACTGGACGAGCTGCAACATGTTCTCCGGGAAAAGGGGGTCTACAATCGTAGACTTTTGGTTGAGGTTGCATATCACTCCCATCACATGATTCTTGTTGCCGACAGCTATCGAGCCGCAATTTCCAATATCAAAACACTCAAGGGGAACGATGTCAAGTTCTTCTCTTCCGTTACGGGCAAAAAGATGGAAACCTCCAAGCTAGGACCAGAATATTGGGTCAGCAACTTGGTAGGCGAAGTAAAATTCGCACAATCATTGCTCCAACTAGCAAATTATGGCAGTCATGACACCAACTTCCAAGTCCAGAGACTGGTTGAGATCGGCCCACACGGAGCGCTCGCTGGACCGGGCAAGCAGGTGCTTGAAGCCAGTCAAGTGCCTACCACATCGACGATAGACTACCTGTCAGTTCTGGTTCGGAAGCAGAATGCAGTGAAAACGGCGCTAGAACTGGCATCGAAGCTCTTTATTTCTGGATACCCAGTTCGCTTTTCCACCCTCAATGGAAGCTCTACATCGGGTGTTTCTTCTCCTTTGATCGACCTACCCCCCTATGCCTGGAATCACAACAAATCGTACTCGGCGGAACCGAGAATAAGTAAGGCCTACCGTCAGCGCAGCTTCCCAAGATTGGATCTTATTGGCGCCTTTGATGTACATTCTAGCCCGCTAGAACCGCGTTGGCGGCAGATGATACGTTTATCGGAACTGCCATGGGTACGAGATCACAAGATTCAGGGTTCGGTCCTCTATCCTGCAGCTGGATATATCACAATGGCCATTGAGGCAGCCATTCAAAAGCTACTAAAGAGAGCGCCGGACACACCCATCCTGGGCTATCAGTTCCGCGATGTGTCGATCAATTCCGCACTTGTGATTCCAGAGACACCTGGCGAGGTGGAGGTATTCATCACACTGAAAGCCTTCTCTGAGAGTGCCAAAGCAACTTCTAGCCTCTGGGATGAATTCCTGGTCTCTTCCGTGGTGAACGAGAACCACTGGACTGAACACTGTCGCGGTTTGATCGCAGTGCAGACACCATCCAAGGCTTCAAACTCTGTCAATGCTGCGATACAAGAGAAGGCGAACACCGCGGCTCATGGCAACATGGTTGAAGAGCTTGAGACCGCGTGCCAGACATCAACCGATGTTGATGGTTTCTACGCACAACTTTCGGAAATTGGCATGGAGTATGGTCCAGCATTCGCCAACATGCGACAAGCTCGTACAGCTCCTGGGCAATGCATTACCAGCGTGGAGATTCCTGATACAGCAGCCTCAATGCCGATGCAGTACGAACGTGCTAGTGTCATCCATCCGGGTACACTGGATGCCATCTTCCACAGTTACCTTCTCGCGCATGCAGGACATGTGGGTAAGCTCAGCAACCCTATCATTCCTGTATCAATCGAAGACATGTTCATTGCCCATGATATCACCAGAAGATCAGGAGATAGACTCGTCTCCTACGCTTCAATATCGCGCATCGACTACCGCCATAAGTCCACCGGCATCATGGTTTTTGAAGACTCTTATGCAGAGGGAAAAAAACCAGTTATTCAGCTGAATGAGATGACGGTGGCAGCAATAGATCATCGTGAGTCAGAAAGAGGCGAAGATTCCAATTATCGACGAGCGTACAACTTGAAATGGGCACCCGATGTGGACACATTGACAGAGCAACAGGCTATCGACATCTGTTCAAAGCCAGCGGTTACCCAAGGCGCTATCACAGATACAGAATTGGATCAAGTTGCGGTCAAGATGCTCCGAGAAGGTCTATCGAAGGTCTCGGAGCAACAAGCTATTGAAGCGGGAGAGTTTGCTCACAATCTCTGGAAACTGATTTCTTTCCAAGTAGAGAAATCGACTGCACTTCCAAATGCAGACGATTCTACCCATAACAGCCTCCCTGATGAGGTCAGCACAGCCTTGGACCGAACAGCTGAGCAGTTGCCGGATCTTCTAGCCGGCCGAATCACACCTGCCAAACTCATCGAGACATATGACATGAACATGGTTGCAGCGGTTCCTCAGGTCTTCAAAGAAAATTACGTTGTGGCAGCCTACCTCAATCTACTGGCCCATAAGACGCCAGATCTCAGCGTGCTGACCATGGGACCCCTATCGGGGCCTGCTTCGTTGAACCTGTTGTCTTTGCTCTCTGGAACGGACGGTGGTAGCGCTCCCTTCAAAGCCTTGCATCATACCGACACCGAACTTAACATGGACCATGTGGCCAAGATTGAATTCCCAGCTTGGGCCGACTCGATTACATTGAAAGACGGCCAGACTGAAGCTGGTACGTATGATGCTGTAGTAGCATTCAACATCAGTGGGACGAGTGGACAGGCAGAAAAGCTACTGTCGAGTGCTTCCAAGCTGTTGAAAGATGGAGGAAGATTGATGCTGGTCCAACTCTCGATCGAGTCACCTGCTGCTACTCTAGTATGGGGATCACTCGCCAACCTATCCCCAAACCAAAGTCAAGTCTTGAATGGGCTACCACCCTCAACAGTAGAGGATGTAGCTGAGAAGATGGGCTTCAACGCTCAGATAACAGCTTCAAAGCGACTCATCGTTCTCCAGAAAGGTGGACTGCAAGGAAACAGCGAGAAACAGCCCGACGTACTCATCGTTGGCGGTGAGGAGCCAACTGGTGTCGACATGGAGGCCCTCAGCAAAAAGCTTGGCTCTGGGACGGAGATGGTGTCCCTTGAGCATGTTTGCCCTAAGCCAGGACAGGTATGCGTTGTGCTCAGTGAATTGTCGAGATCGGTACTTTCAGGGCCGACGCCGACGGAATGGGAGGCTATCAAGAGAATGGTGCAGGGCGGCGCAGGGCTGATCTGGGTCACTCGCGGCGCAGGCGGCAACGAGTGCTCGAATGCACAGGCAGCATTGGTTCAGGGACTTGCACGCACCATCCGCGCCGAAATGGGAGATCAGCCGATTGTCACGCTTGATCTCGATGGCATCAGGCCGCTGGACGCCCACATGGCGGCCGGGTGCATTGCCCATGTTGCAGGGCGGGCGATGCGGCGACGCGGTGGTGATGGCCAGAGTGTGGGTGTAGCCGTGGACGTGGACTGGGAGGTGATGGAACGAGGTGGGATCTTACACGTGCCCCGTCTGGTTGAGGATGTAGATGCCAGCATGGCGTTGCAGTCGGATGATGCCAAGACCCTGACGTCCGCGGGGACGGGCCAGCCACAACGGCGGTTACGCGATGTGGGGCCGACACGCCTCTTTGTGGCTACGCCCGGCCTGCTCGACAGTTTGCACTTTGCCGCCGATGAGCGCACGGGCGGGCGCTTGCGGGCCGGGCAGGTTCGGGTCAATGTTAAAGCGGCCGGGATCAACTTCAAGGACGTTATGATGGCCATGGGTCAGATCAAGGTCGAAGATCTGGGTTGCGAATGCAGCGGCATTGTTTCCGCCATCGACGACGCGGTCGCACAAGACCCACAAGGGCTTCGTGTTGGAGACCGAGTCATGTGCCTCAGCTCAGGATCATACTGCACCCAGCTACCACTCGATGCTCGACTCGCACATCGCATCCCCGATCACTTGTCCTTTGAGACGGCTGCGGCGCTGCCCATTACCTATGTGACGGCCTATCACAGCGTCCACAACATTGCCCGTCTGCGCAAAGGCGAAACCATTCTGATCCACGCAGCTGCAGGCGGGCTGGGTCAGGCTCTTGTTGAATTGAGCCAGCAGGTGGAAGCTGTCGTCTATGTCACAGTGGGCAGCGCTGAAAAGAAAGAATTCATCATACAGCGCTTTGGCTTGGCCGAAGATCACATCCTCTACAGCCGCGATGTTTCCTTCTCCCGCGACATCATGCGGCTGACGCACGGCCGTGGCGTCGATGTGGTCATGAACAGTCTTGCAGGTGAGGCTCTTCGGCAATCTTGGACGTGCATTGCCCCACATGGCCGCTTCGTTGAGCTTGGCCAGCGCGACATCACCATCAACACACGGTTGGATATGGCACCGTTTTCTCGCAATGCCTCCTTTACCGCCTTCAACCTAGCATACACCATGCAAAATGACCCTCAAGCAGCCCGCGAGGTCATGGCCAGTGTACTCGCTCTTTTCACCAGTGGCGCTATACGAGGCCCTGATCCTGTTGAGACGTATGCTTTCTCACAACTCGAGCAGGCCTTCCGTAAAATGCAGACTGGTCGTCATATGGGCAAGCTTGTGGCTGTGGTTCAGCCCGATGACCTGGTCAAGTATCATCATGAGCCAAACTCAACCCTGCTTTTCCGCTCTGATGCTGCTTACTTACTCGTGGGGGGCCTAGGTGGCCTTGGTCGCGCCACCGCTCTATGGATGGCTTCTCGTGGGGCTCGCCATGTAATCTTCATCAATCGATCAGGATCCAAGAGTGGGACAGCACAGGAGACAATCAAGGCCCTGGAGGATGTAGGCTGCAAGGCCACCGTTTTCGACTGCGATGTTGCAGATTCGAACCAACTTGCATCGACCCTAGCTGCAGCTCGGGAACTGCCGCCCATCCGTGGTGTGATCCAAGGCGCTATGGTGCTTAGGGACACCATGTTCGCTAATATGGCCATTGACGATTACTTGGCCGTATTGCGTCCCAAACTGCAAGGCACCTTGAACCTACATGCTCAACTACCGGCTGACATGGACTTCTTCATCATGGAGTCTTCAATTAGCGGCATTGTGGGTAACAGTACCCAGGCAGCTTATGCAGCTGCAAACACCTTCCTTGATGCGTTTGCTCGATTCAGGAGATCTTCCAGCCTGCCTGCTACTACCATTGACATTGGTGCTGTAGCTGACATTGGCTATCTCGCAGAACATGACCATATTAAGCAAGCTATGGAACGGCAGGGGTTTGAGTTCACGGATACCTCGCGTCTGATGCGTCTTCTGGAGTTCGCAATTTTGAACTCCACTCGTACCCCCTGCAATGCTCACGTCATTACAGGCTTAGGTGCCTGGCATCCCGATAACTCACTCCCTGTCCTCCGTGGTCCCGTCTTCTCACGCTATCGTATGCTATCATCGTGTGCTCCTAGCACTGGCGATAACGCGCGCGATACGCTGCGTGTGGCCTTGAAACAATCCTCCAGTCTTGATGCTGCCACAAAGGTCATTCTTCCCGCAATTATCAATCAAATCATAGCCAGAACCGGCATTCCTGTCGAGAATGTAAGCACGTCGCAAAGTCTGCAGGACTATGGCATTGATTCCCTGTCGGCTGTGGAGCTGAGAAATTGGTTTTCAAAAGAGATGGAAAGTGTGGTGCCCATTTTTGAGCTGCTGGCGGCCGAGTCGCTTACTGCTCTCGCTGCAATGATAGCACGACGTAGCAGACTGATTGTTAGTACAAACACTGATGTTCAGTCAGCAGTCTGAATTGAAACTGTGGGTACACTGTTAGGCCCACATATAGACATCTACTACCTTGGATGTCACCGGCTGCACCTGTACATAGCCTCAAAGAAGAACGATTGGGATACTGTCATCACCTATAATATCGTACATAGACCTACAGAAGAACTATTCGTATAATTTCATCATTCATAGAATCGTACATAGACCTATAAAAATCCATCAAATGAATTATACTCTACAATAATTTGTCTATACCAGCATATCAGAACCCATATCAATATGATTAAAGGAAAAATCCGAATTCATAATATCCATATCAGCGGCAGATGGGAAAAAGAAATCCTCCATGCCGTTGAGCATGTCTAATGCGCCCGAGACACTATCAGATTCCCTATTGGAAAAGATATGATCTCGAAACCCAATAGACGGCGAGTCGTGATGATCCACCATCTCGGCTGGAGACGCAAGGCGTTCAACCTCTTCTTGCCCCACGAGTCCGGTGCCCGCAGCAAACACTAAAACATGTCAGTTGAGTATGTACGGTAGGGGCACGTAGTAGGGTCCAGGGCTGAAAGGCGTAGCCGCATGAGGCCGACTTACTTGATGCTCGCTGCTGCGGTCCCAGGCCCCCTTCCTGGGCCCCACTCTTCCTTCGCCGAATTGGTTCGTATCCGATTGCTGAGCTGATGAAATCAAGCCTATGACGTAGTCGTTAGCCCAGAGTCCCCAAGACAGGGCAACGTGGGGGCACGACTGACGAGAGATTGGGGAGATATTGCTGAATGATGGTCTGAATGCATATGGGAGCTGTAGGACATGCAGATAGCGAATCGATATTCATGTTGTCGCACATGTACTCGAGAATAGTCTGTTTCTTGTCTCGGCCCAGTCGGTTGATTGTGCGGATGAGTTGGTAGTTGGAGGCTTCTGTTGCAAGGGAGATTTTGGTTGGTTATTCGTGCACATGCTTGTGATGTTGAGGAGGGGAGGAAGGGCAATTGCGTACCAAAGATGATGTGGTATAGAACCCCCACTTCTTGGAGCTTGCATGATTCTTGTATCGAGGCGATTAATCTGTTGATCAATGTCGTTTCATCTCGCATCGTCTTCAGACCTCTCGAGTGCCCGCTGAAACCCGCCTCTCGCATCTTGGCGTTGACCTATAGAGTCAGTAAGTAATTCTACAGTGCCTTGCATTCCTCAAGGTTCACTGAGAGTGTAAGAAACTTACTTCACGGGCCGCACTCTTCCCCTGCTTATCCGAGTACCGTTCCCAAATCAAGAAGAAGCAGAGAGACAGAAAACGAAGAAATCGGCCGTATTTCATCTTCTGATTTGACCGCCGTGCAAAGCTAAGACACATTTCCCAAGCTCGAGACACATTTTCGCCGCAAGGGGTCAGCGGCGGATTGTCGACATTGGTCAGTGCAATGTACGACGAGACTTCTGCGTCTGAGATACTGACGGAGCCAAGACGCCACAAGAGTTCATCTGCGGTCTCTAGCACTGGCTCGGCGGAGCTACTTGGGCTTAGTTTTCGCTTCTTTTTCAGCGGTCTCTCGCTGGCTGATGTGCCGGATTCTAGAGATGTGCCGCTAGATACTCGGCTCATGGTGTGGGGGCTGAGAGAATTTGTTGTTGTTATTATCTCTTGCATGTTGTTTGGGTCGACGAGGAGAATATCCGATGATTTCCTGGTGTCTGTGCCGCATTCGAGGATTTGTGTTTCTGAAATCAGCTGCTTCATGTACCGATTTATGGCTTCGGTGCATGCATTGAGTCCAGCTTGTCTTGGGAAAGCAGGCGCAAGCTCACGCCTACACTGAAGAATCAGTATTGCTATAAGAAAGCTGCTTGGTAATATAATGGGGTTTCATACCAAAAGCCAGGTGCCCTCACATTCCACTTATGCCATGGAACAAAGTTTTGATGAATAGCCTCTGCCGCATCATTGGTCGGAGCCAGGACATCATTCTCATGAATCCCATCACAACATCGCGAGAAACTTCCTTCCGCGAAGTAAAAGACTTGACCCCGGAACTCGTGCAGGCAGAAAGGCACAACCGAGATCTGCACTCCGACACAGTGGCTCGATTTGATTGCCAGCATGAAGTGGATGAAGACGGCCTCCAATGATGGGTTAGAATTTGTGTTTGCATTGTTACAAGTTGGGTCGTAGGATGACGGGGAGAGGACGGTGGTGTCGCGCATGACTATGGACATTTGGAGTTGCTGTCTTCAATGGTAATCGTAGAATCCTCAAAAACTGAACACTGCACAGTACCCGTAGACAATTCTAGTGATTCGAACATTTCAATCGCTTTATCAAGCTTGATCGCAGCGGTCTTTTCCAATTACCGAGTGCGAGTGGACGCCTAATCACGATCACTCTATCTTCCTTCTGGCTTGATATAAGTGGAGCGGAAATCCTCTGAGGATGCAATGTCAGATACGCCAAGACCTCACAGTCGGAAAATTTCAGGGCGAAGTTTTTTATCTTCGTCATTACAATGGTTCTCGGGAATAGTTTGATGCTGAGGTTTTGACCGGAGTGGATCTGAGGTGAGAAACCTCAACATATTGTGACCCCCACACAAGATAGGATTGTAGCTTGATGTAAGCGCTCTCCTTGCTTCAGTCTAGTCTACAAGACACTTTTTAATGCGCATTGTTGCTCAACGACGTAACTGATTTGTGTACTGAGCAGCTGTGGAATGTATTGAATCAAACGATGCTTAGCTCCCGTGACTGTATGCCATGAAAGGGGGATTTTTTCTTATAAAAAAAGCGTATCCGTAGGTATTTGGTCCAATTAGAGAATCTCAGGGCAGTTTCCGATCATACCGGCTTGACTGGGCCGGTTGGGAACCAGGTGGGTGGGATAAGTGGTTTCAGTCGGATGAGACTGGTGATACCATGATACGTTAGGACTTCTCAACCCGCGCGCCAAAATAGGAATAGCTTCTCATCGCACTCACAAACGATTCCTAGCCCAATGAGGTAGGCCGATTACCTTGGCTCATCCCTTTGACGACAGTCTCCATGGCACGATTGGGTACAAAGGTGGGGAATTATGAACATAGTGGGGAGCATGCATCTGTTCAAGCGGTTAGAACCGTTGCATCGACATAAATAGCTGGGCACTCTGACACTGCTCTTACCAAGATACCAACACGAGGCAGAGGAGCCCCCGACGCCCACAGACTACCGTAGGTACTATGTCGTCGCTCAAAAGTTTCAATTTGAACGATCATCGTTCTACCATCGCTCTTGTTACCTCTTTCCTGATCCTACACACTTTACCACTAAGAAATTCGTCCCAATGGCCTTTGTACCACCTCAGCACTGGAATTTTACGAGCGGCACAGAGATGCATCTATTTGGTAATATTTGCGAAACTCGTCAAAGCCCTGAATGGATGGATATCGCACCGAAGCTACAACAATTTCATCGATGATCCATCTTGGAATTGGCCCAATGAGCTCGCAATCGTCACTGGAGGTTCCAGTGGCATAGGTGCGGAAATCGTCTGCGGCCTTGCAAAGCATCAAATTCGCACAATTATACTAGATATCAACCCGCCTTCCACAAAACTAGGTAACACAAGTCTCCTTCGCTATACATATCCTGCCATCTACCTTGTACCGCGAACAAGATACAAAGCTAACCAAAGACCAGGCAACGGCGTCACATTCCACCAAGTCGACCTCTCCTCCCCCACCGCAATCTCCACCGCCGCAACATCCATCAAAGCCTCCCACGGTCACCCCTCCATCCTCATCAACAACGCCGGCACCGGCACCGCCCAAACCATCCTCAGCGAATCCGAGTCTGAACGCCGTCGGGTCTTTGAAGTCAACGCACTATGTCACTTTACTCTTGTTCGAGAATTTCTCCCCGCGATGATTGAGAAAGATCACGGCCACGTCATGACGATAGCAAGTACGGGTAGTTTCTACGCTCAGGCGCAGAATGTGGCGTATGCGGCTTCAAAGGCGGCGGCTATGGCGTTTCATGAGGGGTTGGGACAGGAGCTTCGGACGCGGTTTCATGCGCGTAGAGTTCGTACCTCGTAAGTTTTTGCTGTTTCTTTCACGACAGCAGAATCGCACTTTTTCCGTGATGAAGAAAGAGAGTATAAGAAAAAGAAGAAACATAAACAAATGATTCAAACCCCTCTAACCGTCCACAGTATCATCTACCCCGACTTCGTCCGTACCCCCCTCGTCGAAGCCCTCACAAGCAAAGTTACGAAATTCCCTCTTGCGGTAATGGAGCCCAGTGAGGTGGCAGCTGAGGCCGTGGATGCTATTACTTCGACATACGGCCACGTGATCGTGCTGCCTAGGAGTTTGGGCTATCTTGCTCTGTTGAGGGGCCTTCCACCTTGGGTATTGAGGATCGTTCAGACAGTTGATCCTGATCCGTTGGCGCTTGTTAACGAGTAGCTTGTCGTTTGGGGATGAGTGTTGGTGCGAAATGGAAAAAAAAGGGGGGGGGGGTCGAGGGATGTAGAGATGAGCAGGAAGATGGGAAGATGGGATGGTTTAGGTATAGATAGTGAGGGAACATTCAAGGGGACTTCATTCGTTGGTGCAGGAAAGAGGTTCAATGGTGCCTGTATAATCAACACTTACAAAGTTACGCGCGCTCGTAGAGTTGACCCAAGATTAGCCAAGCCATCAGGAACAAAATACATTGTAAACTTGAGAATACGTTCAATGTGCAATGCTTACATATTAAATAAATAACACATCGAAAATATCACCCGCAAATCCGTCCACACCATCCCATTCAATCCCTCACCCCTCCAAGCTCTGCAAACTAGACATGGCAAAGTACCGTCCCCTGCGCTGTATAAGCTCCGCATGCGTCCCCGCCTCCACAACGATGCCATTTTCCAAATAACAAATCAAATCCGCATTCTGAATCGCACTCAAACGATGGGCAATTGCAATGGTCGTGCGTTCTTTTGCCGCTTCATCGAGGGCAGTTTGCACCATACGTTGCGACTCAGAATCCAGGGCCGATGTGACTTCGTCCAGGAGCAGAATCTTAGGTCGCCGGAGCAGCGCTCTGGCGATGGCAAGGCGCTGTTTCTGACCACCGGAAAAGTTATTGCCTTTTCCACCGCACTGGGTGTCGAAGCCGTTACTGTGGGATGGTTAGGCAAGGTAGTTGCGGGGGTTGTGTGCATGTTACTTACGGGAGAGAAACTATGAATTCTAGAATGTGCGCCCCTTTGCAGGCGTCTTCGAGGTCCTGTTGGGTGTATTGCGAGGGGTCGAGTCCGAGAAGGAGGTTTTGCCGGATGGTGCCTTGGAAGAGGGTGGGTTCTTGGTCGACGAGGACGACTTGCTGTCGAGCTGCCTTCATGTCCATTGATGCGACGTCGATACCATCTATCTTGACGGTACCGGCAAGTGGACTGTAAAATCGTTCTACCAGGGCGACTACTGTGCTCTTCCCGCAGCCGCTGCCTCCAACCAAAGCTATATATTTCCCCTTGTCTATACTAAGATCTAGACCATTTAGAATACGGCGCTCCGGTCGTGTTGGATATGCAAAATGCACGCCTCGGAAGTCAACCTCGCCCTCCAGCAATGGCTGCGTCTCTGTATCACAAGACGAATGTCCCGTTTGATCTTGTTCAAACAAACTCTTAAGTCGCGCGGCCGAATGGATGGCTTTTGCTAGATCAGGGGAGCTGCTGAAGATGGATCCTGTCGCTTCACCACAAATATTGATAGCTGCAAAACTGAGGATGAACTGGAACAGATTGTACTCGCCACTGATGACCAGAGTCCCGCCATACCAGAGACCAAGGGCAGTGCAAAGCATCCCAGCTGATTGCGAAAAGGCATAGAGAACGGACGATTTCAAGCTTGAGCGTATGCTGCGCATATCCTGTTCAGCAAGTTGATCGTGGAATTTGCCTGTCACTCGCTCCTGTCTGTTAAGTGACATGACAGTGCGGATGGCGGTGACAGCTTCGCCGGCTAGAGAGGCTGTTTCCTGGTAGCTTTTGCGTAGGTGGGCGTCGAGTTGAGCCAGGATGCGATAACGAAAGAAGCCACAAATCAAAAGAACGGGTACAGTAGCCGCTCCCACAAGTCCCAGCTTCCATCCAACTGCGATACTAGTTGCCACAGCAGCAATAAGAGTAGTAAAAGCCATAATAAGGGCTCCAAGTACCGAACATCCCATGCCCGCAACACTAGAAGGTTCAGTAGAAATGAAAGATACAAGTGCGCCCACTCCATGCTCCTCCATATCGAAGAACGTCATGTTTTGATCGAGGAGAGCTTTTAAGATCTTATTGCTGACCTGCCGCACAAGAGCTTCTGTGCACTTCCCAAGCGTGTAGGCTTGGGCAGTGTAGGCGAACAATTGCGCAAAACCAATGAGTACATGCATTCCGGCCCACAAATTGGTCTCGGAGCGAAGCTGTCCATAATTACCTGGAGATTGTGCGAGGGCAACGAGGCATTTTGCGAGAAAGACTGCTTGGACAGGCGCACCCGCTCCCGCTTGAATTGACCAGAGCAAGCCCTGGAGCATCAGTAGCTTGTGATCTTTGTGGAAACCTAATACAAATTTGAAAAGAGTTCGAAGACGATACGCCTTGTTTGGTGTTTCCAGTCTCTTGGCAGTGTTTGCGTTTACTTGCGTCTCGTCACAAGTCTGCTTTTCCGGATCCTGAGTTATGACGTTGTCTTTTTCAGATAGGTCGACTGCAATCCGGCTATTCGAAACTTCCAAAGAAACATCCCTGTCGGAAGAGTTTTGCTTGTCCAGGTTGATAATTTGGGTTTTGGCGAGACTGGCATACGTCCCGTTATTTTCCAGGAGAGCGTGATGTGTGCCCTGCTCGACGAGTCGACCGTCAGCCAAAACAACAATGTGGTCTGCAGCCTTGATAGTAGATAGCCGGTGGGCAACGACTACAGTGGTACGTCCTTGGGAAGCCTTGTCGATTGCAGCCTGAACAATAGCCTCGCTGGTTGAGTCTAAAGCGGAGGTAGCCTCATCGAGAAGTAGTATCTTGGGATCGCGGACTAAGGCGCGTGCAATGGCGATACGTTGTTTCTGACCGCCTGAAAGTAGCACACCAGCTTCACCTACAAGAGTGTCGTAGCCATCTGGGAGTTTACTGATGAAATCATGAGCATTTGCTATCCGAGCTGCATCATAAACGAGTCCATGTATCTTCTCTCCAGAAGCATCCTCGTGTGGTGTACCCACGAGTCCATGTCGGATATTTTCGAATATTGTTGTAGCAAACAGGGTAGGCGATTGTTGCACCAGGGAAACATGCTGTCTTAGCCAATTTAGATTCAAACTGTCAAGCTTGTGTCCATCAAGCAAGACTTGACCGGCGATGGGGTCATAGAAGCGCTCGATGAGCTCGATAATCGTGCTTTTTCCGGATCCAGAAGGCCCTACAATAGCAGTGGTCTTTCCAGGTTCAACTACCATACTCAGATTGTGCAGGACGGTAATATCTGGCCTGGAAGGGTATATGTGTTTTACGTTGACAAATTCAATGCGACCGACTACAGTATCTAGCGTCTTGGTAGGTAACGGATCAGAAGCGCCCGGTGGTTTGCGATCGATGGTACTGTAGAGTCTCGATCCAGCGGATGTAGCGACAGCAAAGACTTGCAGAGGAGGAACTATGCCACCCAAGCAGGCAATCCCAGTCACGGTAGCAAGAATGATGGTCAGTATATCAATATAGGAAGTCGTACCTGCCACCAGGAAGCGCGATCCCATCCAGAAGCCCAAGCCAATAGCCATGTAAATGACGGCATAAACAGCACCAAGTACTGAACCTGTTAGAAGTCTTGACATAACGGCCCACCGCTCAGCTCTGGCAAGAATCTCATCGTGTCGAGCGGCAAGCTCAGACTGGGCGTTCAGTCCTACCACCGTCCGAATTGAGGAGAGTACCTCCTCTGCGATATTGCCGGCTTCTGCAGTCTCCCCAAGCCATCGTTGTCGATACTTTGTAAGAACCAAACCGCTTAGAGCGAGGATGATGCAGATGCACAAGGGACTAGAAACCAGGATGAGGGAAAGTTTCCAGTCCTTGATAAAGCTGATAACGAAAGCAGTGACAATGGACGATGTACACTGCACTGCAATATTGACTTTTTCTGAGATACCATCCCGAATCAAGTTGGCATCAGCGGTAATGTGTGTTGCGATTTCTCCTGCTCCAATATTGTCGAAGAAGGCAATGTTTTGACGTAGTAGAGCACGCAGATACTGCTCCCGAATTCGACTTGACAAGACAATGCCCGTACGAATAAATCCGATGGTCGCAATGTAGCATGTTACCAGCTCCCCGACAAAAAGGTACACAAAGTAGATGGTGAACCGAGTGAGTTCTCGGCTGCTTTCGTTTTGTGATGTTCCTCCGGACCAGTTGTCTTGAATACTTCCAATCAGCAGCCCAATCAACAATGCCGGCATTGTCGTGATCGCGCCAGCAATGATTGCACAGAGAAGCGACACAGCGATGATGACAATGTCAATCTTCGTGGCATATCGAAAGAGTTGGAAGTAGCTGATGTCGAGATTCGGCGTTGCAATGTGTTGGGCCAAGATGTCCTGTTCGGATGCCGTCTTTGTTTCGCTATCGTCCGCAACCTTCAGGGCGGCTGGCAATGGCGTGGCGGCCATGCTGCAACAAGCGCGCGCCTATCTATTCAAGATGGCTTGACAGTTTGCAAAGAATGCAATCGCCAAAGAGTATGGGAAGATAGGAGAGGAGGAGTCGAAAGGGATGCCGCTGCAATCCTCGCTGTGCTTACCGGTAAAAACAAAGCGAACTTGGAAGCAGCCCTCCAGGGCTGTCAGTTCACGTCACGTGAGACGTTGTGCCACGCACCCGCAGCTGTCTGGATGGCATCAGCTTTGTGATACATGCATGACGTAGTCTATAAATACTATGGCACCACGATTCGCCAAACAAAGAACAGAAGGATTCATGGGAGGCCTGACTTCTTGGCCAAGACAGCACATGAAAACTATACACTAGACATCTTGCGGGATAACACAAGTAAGCAGTCTGGATAACATACCAAAGTTGAAGCAACATAATTCCCAATGAAAAACTATTTACTTTGGACGAATGCTCTTTTTTCTCAGAAAAGTTGTCGAGGCGCATTTTTTTCCGCAAAATTCGCATTATGACTGACTCACTTTATCTGCCTCGCATTCTATGCCTTCACGGTATGTCCAATTGTCCGATATAAATGATCAACGCATTATTCGCATATAATCCTAACATACCATGATCGGCATAGGAGTTGGGTCCAACGCCGACATCTTGAGTCTTCAAACCCGCGTTCTACGTGACCAGCTATCGTCAAAGTTTCGATTCGTCTTCGCAAATGGTCCATTTTTCTGTGAGCCAGGTCCAGGCGTCCTGCCAGCCTATGGAGGAGCTGAGCCTTTCCGGCGCTGGCTACGGTGGTCTCCCTCCCACCGGGTGCTCAAGCCGAAGTATCACATCGAAGCCATACGACAGTGTCTGGAGGATAGCATGATGGAAGACGATGAGGCGGGCGCCGATGGGCCATGGGTAGGTCTTCTCGGCTTCAGTCAGGGGGCACGGCTCAGTGCATCGTTGCTCTTTGAGACGCAGCGACGCCAGGCCATACGTGCCTCAGGCGGAACCATAACCGGCTACGAAGGAACAGACGTGACGACGAAGCTTTGGAGTCAAGACTGGCAGTTTGGGATTTTCTTCTCTGGCCCCGCACCGCTTGTTGCTCTTTCCCCTGACCTGGGCCATCTTCCGCTGCAAAGTCCGACCGAGCTGGATCTGTCGTACAAGGAACTCGATCAGCTGGATCCCTCTGGGAAAGTGTCGATAAAGCGACCAACACTGCATGTTATTGGGGTAGAGGATGAATGGACGGATTCGCAGAGGAGATTATACGATGCATACTGCCCCGAAGAGTCCAAGACATTGCTGGAATGGCAAGGCGATCACCGCATACCTATTCAGGCGTCAGAAACCAAGCAGATATGCGACTGGATCTTAGCCAGGGCGGGAGGAAAATGAAAAGAACAACCATTGTAGTGCACGCGAACTACTGAAAATAGAAAAAAGACCCCTGTTTGATCTGAAGAAGCTGATTCATGAGCGTCGTTCCTGTTGAGTCATGCCATCCGAAACAATCCTAAACCATCAACAGCCCCCCCGTTGCACTAATCGACTGCCCTGTAACCCACTGACTCTGCTCAGATGCCAGAAACGCCACAACACCCGCAATCTCCTCAGGCGTCGCTATACGACCTTCCATTGGCGTCACGGCTGCCACGCCGCGATGATAAGCCGCTGACTCAGGATCCGCCGTGATTGCCTGCAGCATATCGGTAGCCGTCAAGCCAGGCAGTACTGCATTCACACTGTGCCCGTAGGGCCCGAGCGCCGCTGCCAACGCCCGCGTGAAGCCTTCGACTCCCGCCTTGGACGCAGCGTACACGGCATACAAGGGCCCACCCGTACGTGCCACGATCGAGCTGATGTTGATGATGCGGCCGGGGCGACGCAAGTGCGGGACCACGGCCTGGGAAAGGAAAAATGCGGCGCGCAGGTTGACGTTGATGCCGTGGTCGAAATCCGCATGGGTGGTCTCGAGGAAAGGCTTGCGAATCCCCGTTCCGGCGTTGTTCACGAGGATGTCGATGGTGGGGCCAAAGGCGGCCAGTGTGGCGTCGACGATGATTTGTGGGGCCGAGGCGTCCGCAAGATTGACTTGGATCTTGGTCGCACTGGAGTCGTTGTCCAGGGCATTGATCTGGGCAACGAGGGCATCAGCTGCTGGGGAGCTAGAATCCGATACGTAGGTGATGGCGACCTGTGTGGCTTGTTAATCACATATTAATGGGAATGCTTGTCTGTTGTAAGACGGAAGACTTACCTTGGCCCCGACTTTGGCAAGACTGAGTGCAATGGCTGCTCCGATTCCGCGCGAGGCGCCTGTGACGATGGCGACTTTGCCTGTGAGTGAGCTCATGTTTGGGTTATCAATGCCGGTCAGGGTTATCACACATGGATATTCCTTTGATTTTACACTTTTGCTATAGCAGTATTGCAAATGCTTTTATATCTAGCTATACTTATTTTCCACCCTCTATTTGGTGGCTGTGGATGGAATAATGCTCAAAGACTTGTGCAAGTTGAAGTGTAGTCTTAACTTACTTTTAGGGACTGCAGAGAGTAACAGATTGGGGAGAAACAGCTCGTACGAGCTGATTTCTATAGAGTAGTGCATTACTAATGATAGGCTGCGTAGGATCTATCACGCCTAGACACCCGAATTTATGATGGCGAAGACTTCAGAGAAGCTTACTTTGATTTCAGTACGCTGTTTTATAGTGGAATGTCCTTATCTTGTAGTCCTTTTCTATAGCGGCAGTCTTTCACAAATTTAACTCAATGTGGAAACTCGGCATACCGGTAGGTACCTCCTCGAGCTACTAACTACCGTAGTGATTCAAGACAAATCAGACACCATAAACAATACCCGTCTCAGCACCCTCTACCTAACCAAAATACTGTATCCAACACTCCCCTTCCCCACTTCAGTCGAACAAGCTTCTCTCCGCACCAGTCCATCTAGCCATACAATTCACCTACCGTCCCACTTTCAACACACAGCGCACTCAACTAGCTCCCATTGAACATCACACCGTCCTACTCCTTCTTCTTCGGAGCATACACATCCGGATCCAATCCGGCCACATAATATCGATACCACGCGGGCATACTTCTCAGTCTCGACAACCACTTGTTACTCGGTGGCAACACCAGATTGCCCGACTGACCGCTGAGTACCTGCTTCACAATCTCTGTAGCCACGTAGTCTGGCTCAAGCAGGAAGTCGCGGAAGTCGTGGAGGGTGGTGAGATTGGCGACCATTTTTGTGCGGACGAAGTGGGGGAATGCAATGCTGGGTTTGGGGGTTAGCTGGCCTAAGTACCATATGTGGTGTTGGGGATGAGGGGTTGAAGTTTGGGAAGATGGTGTATAGTAGGGAAATAAAGAGAAAAATAAAAATGAAAAACATCCAACTCACGTCATCCTGACCTTCCTAGCCCGATACCTAACCCTCAACTCCTGCCCCACCCCCTCATGGAACGCCATCACCGCCGCCTTGCTCGCTGCATACGACACCAATCCCGACGTACTAATCCAGCTCGACGCACTCGCCACTGTCACCACATGCCCGTGATCCCGTGCCACCATGTCCGGCAGGAACTCTTGTACCATGCGCATCTGCGAGAGCGTATTGACAGCGAAGTGGCGGGCCGTGGTCTCAGGGTTTTCGGCGAGGAAGGAAGAAGAGGCGGCGATGCCGGCGTTGTTGATGAGGATGGTGGGGGGGCCGTGGGTGCTGCGGAGGTGGGCGAAGGCGGTGGTGAGGGTGGGGGAGGTTAGGTCGACGGGAGTGTAGTGGAGGGTTGGGTAGGCTACGTGTGGGTTTATGAGTTAGCTTTTGGGGCTCGAGGTCTATTGAACTTCGCTGGATATGGGTGATACACATCCCAAATTGAAAGGGAAAAAAAGGAAAAAAAAACTCACCCAACAACTCCTCTCCCGGCTTCTGAACATCCCACACTACTACCTTGATTCCACGCTCCGCGAACTGCTTCGCTATCGCCGCCCCAATTCCATTTGCCCCGCCCGTGATCAGCACAATCTCCTTGTCCCAGTCCCAGGTGGAGTCGGCCTCCCAGTTATTCAGGCTGCGTTGGGAGAGGTAGGTACTGAGGCAGTCGAGCAGCTTGTAGGTGCAGAAGAGGGAGGTGGGGATGAGGAAGGGTTTGGAGACGAGGACGGGTCTGAGGGTTGAGAGGAATGGGAATGACATGGTGCATAGGGTTGGAGGAGGATGGAGAGTGAAGTAGTTTGCTTTTTTGTGGAGGGTGGGTTCGGGGAAAGGGGGTATTATATGGGAGTATGGCTGTTGGGATGAATGCTAAGTGATTGCTGATAGGAAGTTGGACAGCGTAGGGACTGATTAATGGATGCGTGATGGCTGACAGAGAACTGAACGGTGTAGGAACTGAATGATGGATTTTGAAGCGCCTCTTTTGTGGATGGGAAGCAGACGTTCGTGTTCTAATAATCAACAATGGTAGTTACTGGATACAAGTATTCGTCAAATTCCCACATTACGTTTCCTAACATAGATATGAAATGCCACCTAATCTCAACGCCACTATAGTAAAAACAAACATAATCAACCATTAACCACACAAAAATAACAGAAAACAACAACCCTGCATAAAGCCCAGCGCAACTAAATCTCTTTCCTTCCCACATCACCTGTAATAATTTGACCTAAGACAAAACTAAGCTAAGACCACTCCATCATTACGGCGCCTCCACAACCTCTACCTCCCTCTTCTTCAGCACAGCCTCGGTAATTTTCTCAAGCGTATCCAACTTGGCATACTCCTGCACACGAAACTTGATACGAAAGACCTTGCCAATCCAACTATACAGCTCCATGGCCGTAAGACTATCCAGACCCAATTCGACAATAGTCTGGTTCGCGCTGATGTCGGCGACAGGAATAAGCTGTAGGTCAGCCACTTTTGCGCGCACGGCAGTCAACAAAAGAGACGTAGCCTCGGCGCTATTGGCGGCATGGTCAAGGCTGTGGGCAAGCGAAGAGGTACCTCCGCTGGGAGACGAGGCAGCAGGTGGATTGAGCTTTCGCTCCTCGGCATGGCGAGCAACGAGCGTGGCAAAGCGGGGGTCTGCAGCGTAAAAAGGGAGTCTCCGAGCATCGCCAAAGCCAGCGCCGGTGATGCAAAAGTTGTCACACGAGGGTCCGGTGAGATTGGTGACGGCAGCGGAGAGTAGCGCGAGTACGTCAGAGGTCATTAGAATCTCGCCTTCGTAGGCGTCGACATATTTGAGCTTTTGCAGTTTGGCGGCATTTTCGGCCATGTAACCTGCGTCGACGACGGCTGTCAGTGCCAGCGAGGTCGCAGGCAGCTGCTGAAGGTTGCGGTACTTGACGAATGAATCGAGGAAGGTGTTGGCAGCGGCGTAGGCAGAGTGGCCGGGGGTGCCCATAACACCGGCAACAGATGAAATAACAACAAAGAAGTCCAAGGAGGCATTGCTGAGGGCATAATGCAAATTCCAAGTGCCAAGGACTTTGGGTTGGATGACAGCGGTGAAGTCGTCATGGGATACAGAGGTGAAGACACCACCCTAGTAGGTCTCTGGTGAGATGCTGTGGCAACAGATGGGTATTGGGGAACAGTCACATACCTTGAATACCATGGCGGCGTTGATGACACCTTTGATTGGACCTCGATTAGCTGTACAATCTTGGAGCACACGCTGCAATTGTTGTTGGTCAGTAACATCACAAGGCAGCAAGAAGACTTCAGCACCGGCGGAAGCAGCCACTTGGTCAGCCATAGTGCAAACTTGAGGGCTCATGGTTGTGCTGCGGGACAGCAGACCGATCTTCCTGGCACCGTTGAATGCGAGCCATTTTGCGATCTCACGGCCGAGACCACCGCCTCCACCGACGAGAAGGTAGACGGCTTCGGGATCGAAACTCGCAGGAGCAGGAGGAGGAGGGGTTGCCTTGATGATCTCGTCCTTGATGGGCAGCAGCACCTTAGGGACAGGGTCCGTATCAGCTACCTGGGGCAAAAGCATGGGCAGCTGCTCTAATCGAACAGTGTCGACGGGCAAGGGGCCTTGAAGTAGCTCACAGGTGAAGAGATCTACGACGGTGTCGAGCAGTTTGGCCGTCTGGGTCGGCAAGCCATCAGCGACAGCAGTCAGTGACGCAACAGCGAAACTGCAGCCAGCAGGAAGATGAGGGAGAGCATGGTCTTGGGTCGATCGCAGCTCTCCTCCCATATACACTAGACATGCCATAGGAGCCAGGGCACGTGATATGGCGGCAGAGTCGAAAGTGGTCTTGGGAATGGGGTAGAGCAGCACGTCGATTGTAGCGCGAGGAAGGTCATGAATGCTACCAACATGGACGATAGCGCCAACAGCCTTAGCAACAAGCACAGCGGCCTGTCCTAGAGCTGAGTCTGAGTCGACGATGGCTACCTGTTGACCGGAGCGGAGGCGGCCTATGTCGACAAGGGCCAACTGAGCAGCGGCGAACAGTGGCAGTGTGGCCGCCTCGTCGAAGGGCAGCGAAGCTGGCACACGGGCGAGGCTCGTCTCGGGAGCACATGCAAACGTGCCAAAGGCGCCATAGGCGTTGCTGAGGCCAAAGACACGATCTCCAGGTTGGACGCGGTTGACGTCTGCGCCACACCTCACCACCGTTCCACTGAACTCTCGGCCCGTCAGTTGCTCCGCGGCGGCGCCACATTCCGGCCCGATCCGAGCCGACGCCACTCGAACCTCAACCTCATTGGGGGCGAGCGTTGGCGGCTCGTCGATGCGCTGGAGGTAAAGCGACGAGGGCATGCCTGGCCGTTGCAAGCCAAATGCGCCTCGCGTTGACGGTTCAAACGGCTCGTCGCGCGGTCCCACGACACCTGTTGCCGCATGCACGGCCGAATTCAGGGCATTGTCGTGCACAATGCGTGGCACCAGCAGCTGTGAGGTCCCCTCAGCACTAAACTCCAGGTCCATGGTGGTTGCGGACATGGACGTGGGCATGGCCACATGTGCTGCCACACGCGCCACCAGCTTTGCCTGGCCTTCCACATCTCCCACTACCCGACCATCAAGGTCGAGAGAGCCAACGGCGGCCTGCATCTCGCTGCGAATCGTGCGAAGGAGCCCTACAGCCATACCCGCCGTGGGCTGCGTTGCGTGGTACAGGGCACCTTTTGTCACCCACAAGACACCCTCGCACGTCGTGAGGGTCTGCTTGACATGGTCAAATGTCTCGCCGTCGATAGCACCCAGCAATCCCTCGCCCACATCCACCACAATGCACAGCTTGACGTCTTCGGGCAGCCCCTGGCCAAGGGTCACCACCTTACCCCCAATCTGCTTGGCAATCGCTCCCGCAATGTCTTCCTCATCTCCACTGCCCTGCAGAATATGCCACTTGGACTCGGTATTGACATAGTTCGCCATCTCCCCAGCCGGCTGCCACTCTATCTTGTAGCAGCCAAAGTGTGGTGCTGGCCACTGCACTCCAATGCTCTCATCCACGCTCAGCGACAACCCGCGCACCTCAACACGTGCCCCAGCTGCGCCCCCTCTTACTGTCGCCGATACGCTATATTCACCCCCTCGTTTCGATCTCGCGGCATCACTGCGTGATACGGCTTGCAGCACTTGTCCTGGACTATGTACGTCTCCACATCCAACCAGTATCTCTTGGACGGCTTGGGGCACCCACACGTTGCTGTTACTGCCCATGGGTGCTACATCCTTGTCCACGAATGGGATGTATTCTCCACACTGCAACAGTCCATCCATGGTGGTGGGGTGCATAACATATGTCGTCTCCCACTGGTGTGGCATCACCGACGCTGTATCCGCTACCACCACTTCTGCTGCTGCCTGGCCTCCGCCGTACGAAAAGTTTTGTACATTGCGGAAAGTGCCAGTTCGCCGCGGTCCTGTCTTGGCTGATCCTTGATACAGCAGAGGGCTGCCAACGTGGTTGTGGCATCCTTCACGAACTTGCTCCCAGTGCTCAATCTCGACAGCGCTGTCGCTATCAAAGAACTTCTCGGCCGTCCCATGACACTTCACCAGCGCGCGGCAATGATGGCTCCACCTTTGCTTCTCTTCATTCCACGTAGACAGCTCAAATACGTCAAAGTCGCTGTTTGGGTGCGGGCGTAGCTTGCTGATCAGCTCCACACGCACTCCCTCCTCTAACACGACTTTCTCGACTACTTGAACATCTCGCACCGTGAACTGCAGGCCATTCCCATCGCTATTCGTGCGTGCCATGGCGCACTGTTTGCTAGCCTCCAAAGCAGTGCATATATAGCCAGCCAAAGGGAACGTCACTGACGATCCCACTTGGTGATCGCGCAACCATGGCATGTCCTCTAATTCAAAGTTGTTCGTCCATGACATTTCGCCGTCGCTCGAGCGCGTGTTGATGTAGCCTAGCAGATCGTGGCGTGGAAACTTCCGTTGCAGGGCATCGTCCCGTATCTTGGACTCGATCCAGTAGCGCTTACGCGTCCATGGGTATGGCTTGAGGCCGTCAACGAGCTTAGGTCGCAAGCCGTGACCCTCGTCATTGGTAAGATTGACCTTTTGCAGGTCAAGAGCATGGCCCAAGGTATAGAGCGAACCCGCAAGCTTGAGAATTGATAGGCGTGAATTTTCTCCACGCTGGAGACATGGGAGCGTCTCGACCGCGTGGGGCACCTGCTTCCCTACAACCTTCATGATGCTCTTGATGGCCCATGTCAGTGTAGGGGTGGGGCCAACCTCAATAATCACATCGGGTGCAACCTTGCTCTTCACGAGCGCCGTCAATGCAGATGTGAAGCGGACTCGGTACTTAGCACTGCTAGCCCAGTAAGATGGCTTCTTTACTGCCGCTGCTTCGACCCTTCGCCCTGCCATGGCCGAGAAGAACTCGACTTTTCTTGTGGACGGGGTAACAGTATCATTAGTAGTGCAGACTTCTTGCTCATATTGGTCGACAAACGGCTCCAGGAACGGTGAGTGGTAGGGAAAGTCTACGGCCAGCCGTCGGTGGGGAATTCCATCCTCCTCCAGCAATTCTTCCAACTCATCCAAGGCCGCTTCCTCACCAGAGACGGTGGTCGACTTGTGCGAATTCTCGCAGGCAACGACGACTGTTCCAGCAGTGACAATGTCCAGCAGCGGCAGAACATCATCCAGTCCTGCGCTTACTGCCATCATCCCACCTTTGAAGTCTGGATCCACTTGTCTAATTCGAGTAGCCATTTGGCCGCGAGCATAGGCAATACGCATAGCGCCCGGGAGCGAAACAATTCCAGCCGCGTACGCAGCAGCCACTTCACCGCTCGAATGCCCTACTACTGCAGTTGGCTCAACGCCCCAGCTACGTAAAAGGTCCACGAGAGCTACCTGGATGGCGGTGGAGGCCACCTGGCTGACGTCGGCGTCATTGATACGGGATGTCGCCTCTGATGCATAGAGCTCCTCCTTCAAAGAGAAGCTAGCGCCAAAGGATTCGACACAAGCGGCAGCCTGGTCCAAAGAGGTAGCAAAAGCTGGGTACTGGAGTAGCTCACGACCCATACCGAAACTTTGAGCTCCCTGTCCTGTAAAGGCAAATGCAATCTTGGGTGGATGAAGGACTCGCTGCTGTACAACCTTAGGGGAGGCAGCCTTGATGGCAAGATCATCCACTTCGGTGGCAACCACTGCTGAACGCCAACTCAGTTGGGACCGGCGCTGACCCAGCGTGTAAGCAAGGTCTTTCATTTCGGTTGCGGCTGCCTCGTCCGACTCAAGGAATTCCACCAGCCGCTCCCGAGTCTTTGATAGGGCTTCCTCATCGTTGGCTGACAAGACGAACAGAAAAGCCTCTTCGGCACTTGTGCCGCCATTCTGGGCTGATGGCACGTCCGGCTTTGGCGCCATCTTGACGATACAGTGGGCATTGGATCCTCCAAATCCGTAGTTGTTGATGGCGGCATAGGGCCTGTCCTTGGGCCAAGGCTGCGTGGACAATGGCACCGCCATGTTCAATTTGCGCAATTCCGAGTTCATGGATTCATCTTTGAAGTTGGGATTGGGTACAATGCAGCCCTTGTTCAACATCATGGCAGCCTTAATGAGCGACGGGAAACCGCTCGAAGACTCCAAATGTCCGACATTAGCTTTCACCGACCCAACCATCAGCGGCTCTTCCGCCGTCCGCGCCTCACCTGGGAACGCTCTCGAAATGGCTGAAATCTCGATCGGGTCGCCCACTCTTGTGCCGGGGGCATGGGCCTCCACAAAGCCAAATTCGTCTGGCTGGGCTCCAACTTGCGCCTGCAGCTCTTTCATAAGCTGTGTTTGCTGGTTTGCATCCGGCATGGTGTACCCGTTGGTGTTTCCATTGTGGTTCACGCCGATATGCGACAACACGCAGTGAATTCTGTCGTTGTCACGAAGGGCCAAGTCGAGTGGCTTTAGAATGACACATGCACCACCCTCTCCACGCGCGTATCCCGATTCGGCATTCGGATCGAGCGCATGCGTCTTACCATCCGGACTCAACATGGTGAGATTCGACAACATATTCCAGCGCCACGGCGAGAGGTTCAGTGCACATCCCGAAACAATGCACGTCTCTGTCTCGCCCGATCGGAGACTTTGAGCCGCGAGCTGGAGCGCGTAAAAAGCAGACGAGCATGCCGTGTCTACACTGACGCTGGGGCCGTGGAGATCGAATACGTTGGATACAACGTTTGCCATCATGCAGTTATGGCCCAGGACACCAATCTGCGCTGGTACGCTGTTGATGCTGTCTTTGAGTTCGACGGTATAATCTGAGGTGTTGGCCGTTGAAAACACGCCCACTTTGGTACCTGCAATCTTTTCTCGTGGGATTCCAGCGTTTTCGAGCGCTTCGTAGACGCATTCGAGTACAATTCTTCCTTGGGGATCCTAGATTCAACTCTGCGCATCAGTTTCATCCTATCCAATCTTTTTTTACACCGCACTCCCATCCTATCCCCACACAGCCAAGCAACACAAATGCATAAAGCAAGCACCCACAACAAAACAAAACAAAACTTACAAAACTCGTAGCATCTGTCGCATTCATGCGAAAAAATGGGGCGTCAAAGGCGCTCACATCGCCATCCAGAAAATACCCATCCTTGACGTTGATGGCGTCCCGCCGCGTCTGGGAGGGATGGTAGAAGGCTTTCCAGTTAAAACGCTCGGAGGGAAATTCTCTGTATCCGTCGCGCGCATTTGAGAGGAGCGCCCAGAAGTCATCGAGGGAGGCGACGGAGCCGGGCATGCGGCATGACATGCCAACTATGGCGAGAGGGGTCGGTGATTGGGGGTCAGTGGGCGCCATTGTGCGTGAGGACGTGGGAGATTTGGATGTGTGAGTGCGTATTGACTGGGTTGGAGGAGAGATATATAGGTAAGTGCGGCGGTTGAGATGGGGAGATGGGTCTCGTACAAGCAAAACAGAGGTTTTGAATGAACAGACTTGCCCAACCCGACTTCCAGTCCAATAGAAAGCAAATCTCAGGCCGGAATGGAATGTTTAGATGCGTTTATTTATAGGAGTAACATCTGCTGCTTCCTTTTTCTTTCCTCGGGGGTAGAGGGTGAGTATGAAAATAAGGGAAAGGGTAGCAGCGGGCCTTTATGTCAGATCAAGCAATGTGCATGCTAACAATCAGCAATCCCGTTTTTCGGCCCCGAGGGTGATCTTACAATAGGACCTTTATATAAAATATATGTCTGTACGCGGTGGAATTGTACAACGAAGGGCGGAAAGTGGGGGCGTAGTAGTTACTTTCATGTACTTGGATGGTTACATAGTCGCTATAGATGCAGGAATAGAGAAATAAAACTAACCCAAACTGTTCAATTATCTGCCCCGCTGGAACCAGACAGTGGACGGGCGGCGTGTGGGGTACAGAGTGTGGGATGAGGATGGTGTGTAGGTGATGTGGTGTGGGTATCAGCTCTAAGGAGCTGGTGTGTGGTGGAATTTCTTGTAGGGGCAATTAGGTAGATATAAGCCCCGTAGCTCCCCTATTAGAATTAAAATCTAGTTCAAGCTACCTCTACCTATTTTAGGTACTGTGACTTTGTAATGGGAAGTTGGACTGCGGTAGGGATATGAGGATCGCTGAGGAGGATCCGTGCGGCTGGCTAACTGAGAGGCGGATGGCGTGTACTACACCACAACCTACACCACAATTTACCACACTAGACGTACCAGCTAGCCGTTGAAAATCATCGAGGAGTTAAAATAGTCAAATAATATTGCAGATAAGTCACACTGAAGCAAAATAGTCATCACATGCCCAGCCATCAAACCAACACAATCCAACCCCTTCTTGCATTCTGCATTTTTTTTATCCTAGGGGCATCATATAAGTTTTCTAAAAACTAGAATATCTGCAAGATGGAAAGGAATTGATGTACCAGATTTAAGAAGTCAGGTAGGTGAGTCGAGTACCTATTTCAAACTCCCTCGCACACATGCAAACTCGCAGGCATTCGGACTCTGGATTTCGAATTCGCACGTGGTAATGTTGCAATCTTGGCGCCGTAAAAAGGGGCAATGGCAGGATGAGTCTTCGCTGACTGGGTTGGATGGATGTATTGATGTTTGGATTTATTTTGCGCGCGGTGGGCTTGCTGGTCATGTTGGTTTAGGCGGGTAGATACTATTCTGACCAAATGAGGTGTAAGAGGGTAGAATGGATGAGTGCATCAGACATAATTGAAGTGTGAGAAGGGATTAAGTAGAGAGGAAAGGAGATGACGAATGGAAAAGCTTGACATACAAATACACAGACACATGAAAATCATGATTCAACAAACATGCATATTTTCCTAGACTAAGACTCGAAATAAACCCTTACTTTCTACTTTGATACTTCCTGGGAGGCGAGGCTGTAAGCTTTCTTCTGGGTGCTTCCGTTGATGGGTTTGCCTTTGCGTTTTCGGTTGGCTTGGCTTATTAATTGGCGGACTCAGGGGTAAGGGTTCTTGAGGCTTATAATTCGTTTAACGAGGGGAGTGAACGTGAGGTTTCAATTGTGCTGAGACTCTGCCACCTATATACACCCACTTGCGGGCACAGAGATCCAGATGAACTGCTCCGTGTCGTGTACACTGAGTGGTGTAATAACTGTGCAGGTTTTCCTTCAAAGCGATGAGCTATCAATCTGAGATCTCATTAAAAACTTCAAACTTGATACATTGACACTCTCGAATCCATAATGGAATCTTCAATCTCATGGCACGAGCCATCCGACTACAAAACACGACCTGTGGCTGTAATCGGAGCTGGTGTACTAGGACGTCGAATTGGTAAATTCACAAAGTCAATTCTGAAATACTCGTAGCTAATGATTTAAAGCTTCATGCTGGGCAGCAGCTGGCTACACAGTGCACATCTACGACCCCGACAGCAACCAACGACATGCCGCCGTAACCTACTACAATGAAAACAAAGCCACATATGAAAAGTTCACCAAAACAAACGTACCGCCAGCACAGGTCCACGAGCACAGTAACATCCAAACCACCGTTGAAAACGCCTGGCTCACAATTGAATGTGTGCCAGAGAGCCTCCCAGCCAAACATGCCGTGTTCTCCCAGCTAGCCCACTTCAGCACACCCCACAGCATTCTCGCAACAAATTCCTCGTCCTTGCGCTCCTCGGTCGTTTCCGCAAAGCTGTCGGATGATGTCCAGCACCGCGTACTCAACACGCATTATTTCATGCCTCCGCACGTGCGCGCAGTTGAGCTCATGACCAATGGCCGCACGGCCCCTGCCATCTTCTCGTTCTTGGGCAAATGCATGAAAGAGGCCGGGCTGAGTGTGTACGTGGCGAAGAAGGAGTCTACGGGTTTCATTCATAATCGCGTGTGGGCGGCCATCAAGCGCGAGTTACTGCAGGTTGTGGCCGAGGGTGTTGCTGATCCAAAGACGGCGGATGATATTTTCTTTGAGACGGTTGTTTTACCAGGGCTACGGCCGTTTGTGGCCATGGATTGTGAGTCCTGCTGGTTCAACATCGTATGGAGGGCGCTGTTTGCTGACATGGTAGGGAAAAGTGGTTGGCCTCGATACCGTAGCGCTGATTGAGCGGAATTTTGCGGCAGAGCGGAACCTCGATTTGACGCTGACGGCTGACTTTTTGCAAAGGGAATATATAGATCAAGGCAAATTGGGGTTGAAGAGCGAGAAGGGCGGTTTCTATCCACCGCAGCCGAAAGTTGGAGGACCTATGACTGCAGAACCTAGGTTGCTGGTGCTGGACAATGGCTTGTCTGGCCAGGTCGACACGTTGGAAAAGGGTGAAATCGTAGAGTACTCTACTGCCGGTCAACATGTACGAACCATTTTCACAGACCAGTATCTTCCCGATGGAATCGTAGTTTCAGCCGACAGGAAGCGCATGTTTTGGACGTGCATGGGGTTTCCTGGTGCATACGACGGCATGGTGTATTCTGCAAATCTGGATGGTAGCGACAAGAAAAACTTGGTGGAAAAAGGGATACTGAACACACCCAAGCAATTATGCATCGATGAAATGGATGGTACGATGTACATCGCCGATCGCGAAGGCATGTGTATCTGGCGTTGTAATCTCGACGGCAGCAATCTCTCGCGAATTATCCAAACTGGGAATCGAAAAGAAGATGGCGATCAAAATCATAATGATGATCAAGAAGCCAACCACCAATCAAACCCAGCTTTGTGGTGCGTAGGTATCACAATCTCCCAGCAACTCGGCAAAATCTTCTGGACCCAAAAAGGGCCCCCAAAAGGCTGGCAAGGCCGCATCTTCAGCGCGAACATGGCTCTTCAGCCCGGCGAAACACCCTCCACCCGCTCCGACATTGTTTGCCTCGCTTCTGGCCTCGCTGAGCCAATCGACCTCGACTTCCACGAGGCGACGCAAACCCTGTACTGGACGGACCGAGGCGAAATGCCCTTTGGCAACACGCTGAACCGGCTGCGGCTCGATGCGCAGGGATGCAGGGCAGACGGTCAGACGTGTACGCCACTGCTGCAGCATGAGATTGTGGCGAGGAAGTTCCATGAGGCGATTGGGGTGAAGATTGATGGCGAGAGGGGCCATATCTATGTCGCCGATCTTGGGGGCTCTATTTGTAGGTGTAATTTGGATGGGAGTGGAAAGACGAGAATATTGTTTGAGGAGGGGAGGGCATTCACGGGTATTGCTCTTGCTTAAGCCGTGGCAAGATTGGAATGAGAATATATTCGGGCATTCTGTGCTGAATCTAGGCTGGAGCAATGGAATTCATTTTTATTTGAACATTATATAGTTTAACGTGTTCACATATCAGAGCCTTGCCACGGTTTCCAGTACCATGTAATATGCGGTCTATGATACCGATTACCACTACGTATATGGGCCATTTTGTAGATTCCAAAAAGGCTGTGAGCCCTTCGTGAACCCCTTTGGTCCTTTTTTGTCAGCGTTTCTAGACATAGAGGAAGTGCTCTTGGACTGCCTTGGCGATGGATCTTGGTGTCACTGCTACTGGTAGGGCTGTTCAGGTTTGCTACAGATATGTGATAACGTAGATCTGTTAGTTATAGAAGTAGTAGCCTAGTATAGCTAAGGTCGCTTCTATAGGAAGTATAACTGTAAAATAAATATGTATAGTAGTAGTTGAAGTATCAACCAGGCTGGCCAAGGTAGCTAAGAGTAATTATACAATACTTTTTTCATGTACTACTACTATAGTGGAGCGTTCTTCACGTCCAAAGCAAGTTGTGCTCGATGCAGGGTGTAAAGGAGTGTTAATCCTTCTTTTAAAGACCCCTTAGGACCTTCAGGCTTCTGGTATAGGTATAGTTTTTCTATGTCCACTTATGCGCCTAGGCCTAGTCTTTCTGAATTATCCTGATTTCTCTATCATAGTATGTAAAATTCAAAAAGGAAAAAGAAGTAAAGACCTAATAAGCAGCAATCTAAGCAATAATGTGTACTTTATACTATCCGCGTCAAAGTTAAGAGGAAAGCACATGACGAACTGTCGTCGTTGCACAACAGTGGGGCAGTCGACCCACTTTTAACGCGCCAATGACGACTCGAAACTCAACGACCTTGTCAAACATCAAGTTCGTGGCGGTGAGGCATCCCGTCTGCAACCACAATACTGGAGCCTAAGTGAGACTGTTCTATAACGCGCCTACATGATATCAACCAGCAAAGTAACGGTAGAACATCTGGGGCTTAGGTGCAGAGGGCTTTCCTTAAGGTAAAGTTAGTTACAGGATAGATAGCCTTACAATGGCGTCTTTACAAACTCCCATGTCCCTGGCTAGAACAGGGTTCCAAGACATCCTACCCATCTCCCATTGTCATCATATCTGGGTCAGTAGTAGCATCAAAATATGTGGACTTGGTTGATTGACATTTTATAGGACACTAGAGCAGCTCGATTCACGCCATGCTTCGTACCGTTTGTAAACATATTCCCAGCTATCCTGGGCGCTTTAATACTATTAAGGTATTCATTACGAATTTTCCGCGCCCATCAGCCACAATGGATGAGGCCATTCCTAGTCGAAACCAAAGAAAGCTTGGATGAAGTAGAATCGACAACCTCGAATCGTCCCTTGACCGCAATGTTCGGCCTGCTGGCTGTGACTTCGGCAGGCCTAGCATTCGAAGTCGTTTCCATCTTCTTTCCTTCACGGCGGTCATTGGCGCTATATCCAGCATTAGCATGGGTATGTCTCATTTGACCATGTAAATTCTGGGCTAATAGGCATGCAGGCAATCGCAGCGGTCATAGTGGTGATTGAGCGTCCGAGAACGGCATCGCTCTCGTTGATGTTCCTATTTGCAGGGCTTTTCTCCGCGCAAGCAGTCGTTTTGTCACATACCGGAATTTCGTTCACCCTTGAGAATGCCCCGCTAGTTCTGGCTCCTGTCACTGCACTGCTAGGTGTGGCGGTGATTCTTAATATGCCTCTACGGGATCCTTTATTGCCTAAAAAAGGGATTAGCCCTGTTTCCGGTCCACCGACTGTCGAACTGAGAACCCCAGAGGACGACCTGACTCCATGGCAATATATGACGGTTTCGTGGATGGAACCTTTGATACAGAAGGGAGTCACACGCCAGATGGATGACAAAGATGTGTGGGATCTTGGATGGGAATTCAAGCATGCGCGCTTGCACGAGGCGTTTCGACAGCTGCACGGATCAGTCACCAGGAGGATCTTCGTTGCAAATGGCATGGATCTTGTACGCACTACAAGTCTAAACACGATTAGATTAGCAGCTAGTGAGTCTCTAAATGACCTTTCCTGGACATCATTACTGACTTCACTAGCACTATTGACGCCAGTACTCCTCCAACGGGTCCTTGCTTCAATGAATGATGAAAAAGCCCCAAAGAGCGCCACAATTACATATGCCGTTCTTGGACTTGTCTTACGTCTTGTTTCCGCCCAATTGAGCGTTTTCAACCTTTGGTATCAACGTCGAGCATACGAAAGGTCACGTGGTGAGATGATCACCATGCTGTATGAGAAGACTCTAAACCGAAAGATACTGGGTGCAAAGCAAGAGGTCAAGGAGGAACCTACCAACGATCATCCAAACGGCGAAACCACTGAAACGGAACCTGGGAACACGACCTTCTTACCTGACGTGAATAAAAATTCTTCCAGCTGGCTTGCACGGATAATAGCCTACATTCGATTCCTTCTTACCAAGAAGCCAAAAGAAGCGACTGCAAAGGAAGAGAAAGAAGCTGCGTCGATGGGCAAGATTCTCAATTTAATGCGCAATGATGTGTATGAAGTGGCACAACGCTTCTGGGACTTTTCGGATATCATCACCAAGCCAGCTGGCGCAATATTTGCAACTCTTCTCATATGGAGAATGCTAGGCTGGGCCTGTCTACTCGGTGTGTTAGCACTCGGTGCTTCACAACTTTTCAACATCGTTATAGCTCGCTATCAGGTGTACTTCGAAAAGAAGCGTCGCGCTGCGACCGATGAAAAGCTACAACGGACAAGCCAGTTCATCGAATCGATCCGTCATTTGCGCTGGTACGGCTGGCAAGGCGCATGGCTCGAGGGCATCTTAGAGTCACGACAGAAGGAGCTGTGGTTTCGAATCATCAACATCATCTTCACCACGTCTCTTGCATTCATGCTCCGTTTCGGATCAGGGCTGTTCCCAGCTGTGGCTTTCTATGCCTTTACGTCTATAGCAGGAAAGCCACTTCGTGTGGACCTCATATTCCCTGCAATCGACTTGTTCAACCTCCTGGAAGGCTATCTGCGGGCGCTACCTCAGTTGGTCACTACGATCCTCAACGCGTACGTGGCCATGGGGCGAATTGAAGAATTCATGGCCGAGCCAGATAAGGAGAGAGCTGATGTGGTATCGGAAGACGCCGCAAATCTTAGTTTACACAATGCATCATTCGCATGGCCTGGTGTAGAGAAGAACGTCTTGCAGGATCTCACGCTGGCTTTTCCTCCAGGGCTGACTGTAATCTACGGCGAGGTCGCAGCGGGCAAAACAGCTCTACTGCAAGCACTGCTCGGTGAGCTCGACAGGACTGCAGGCGAGTTCATTCGCCCAGACCAAGTCATCGGTTACTGTGCGCAGACGTCGTGGCTACAGAATATGAGCATTCGAGACAACATCCTCTTCTCATACCCCTACGACGAATCCCGCTACAAGCAAGTCTTGGAAGCTTGCGCACTGCTGCCAGATATGGCTGAGTTCAAGCACGGTGATTTATCAAACATTGGCGAGAATGGCATTGGATTGTCAGGTGGACAGAAGGCTCGTGTGGCGCTGGCTCGCGCCGTTTACAGCAGTGCTAACGTCGTTCTCCTCGACGATCCTCTATCGGCACTTGATCACCAGACTGCGGAGTTGATTGCCAATAAACTGCTCAAAGGCCCATTACTAGAGGGTAGGACGGTTATCCTTGTCACGCACAGGACTGAACTCTGTCATGGTCTTGCTAAGCAGTGGATCGAGCTGGACCACGGCAAAGCCATCATTCACGAACCGACTGCAGCTGAGGATGCAAATGAGCTCAAGCGTATCCACACAAACGATTCAGTCTCCGCTGATGAAGCCAAGAAACGCGAGGAAGAATCAGCGGCAGCTATCCCAGACAAGTTCATCGAGGATGAACATCGTGCAACAGGTGGCGTGAAGCTCAAGGTATACTGGCGTTACATCAAAGCAGGTACACTTCGTTGGTGGTCGGTCGCATTGCTTGTCATGGCCATCTTTCGTATCGTCGATGTCGCGCAAACCTGGTTCATCAAGTCCTGGGGCGAGAGCTACGACGACAAAGATCACAAAGGTTTATTCGACTTTTTGCCTCCCGCCGAGGAGAATGTGAACCCCTGGTTATGGACCTTCTTTGGGTTCGTCTCAGCTACCGCCATACTCTTCTGGTGGACCAACCTGATCATGTTTGGGGTTGGGTATCAAGCTGCAAAAACAATCTTCAAGGAGACTGTGGAGCGCGTGGCTCATGCGACGTTCAGGTTCTACGACATTACACCTGTGGGACGCTTGATGAACCGGCTAACAAGCGATATGAACACTATTGACGGTGATCTGAGCAATGCATTCATTGTCTTCGCATGGCAATTTATAGGATGGGTTAGCAGCATTGTCATCATCATCTCATCGACGCCGACTTTCCTAGCCTTTGGGGTAATACTCATGGCTGGATTCGTGTACTTTTTTTTGCGCTTTTTGCCCACTTCGCAGACTCTGCGGAGGCTTGAGGTAAGTGCTTCTTTCAATGACTTATGCAACCATGCTAATAACGTCTAGATGGTGTCACTATCCCCGCTCATGTCGAACTTCGGCGCCCTTGTGGAGGGTCTCACCACCGTGCGAGCTTTCAAAGCCCAAGAGCGCTTCCAAGCTCGCGTCATCGAAGTGGTCGACAACTTCCAGAAGAACGATCACTTCTATTGGTCTCTTCAATCCTGGCTCGCCTTGCGCTTCAGCGTCATGTCCGCCAGTGCAACCATGATCATGACGCTCATCGCCGTGTACACGGGCATCAGTCCAGGTCTTACCGCCTTTGTCCTCATCACCGCCAGCAAATTCGTCGTGCACACGGAATGGATGTGCCGCATCTACGGTATCCTAGAAATGGACTTTGCCAGCGTAGAACGTGTCGTCGAGCTGCTAGACATTGAGACCGAAAATCCCGGCGTCGTCGACCCGCCAGCCCACTGGCCCACCTACAGCGGAGACGTTGAGTTCAAAGACGTGACAATCCGCTACGCCGACAACCTCGAACCCGCCCTCGAAAACATCACACTCAAGATCCCCGCCGGCAGCAACACGGCCATCATTGGACGCACAGGATCCGGCAAATCCACCCTCGCACTCTCCCTCCTCGCCACCATCCCCCCCGAAACCGGAACCATACTCGTCGACGGCATCGACATCTCCACCGTAAACAAGCAAGCCCTCCGCAGCCGCATCACCTTTCTCGCCCAAGAACCCGTCCTCTTCCCCGGCACAATGCGCAAGAACCTCGACCCCCTCTCCTCCCACACCGACGCCGCCTGCGCCGCCGTCCTCGCCAAAATCGCAGGAAACCACGGCTGGACACTGTCAACGCCCATTCAAGCCGGCGGCAAAGGCCTCTCCCAAGGCCAGCGCCAACTCGTCGGCCTCGCCCGCGCCCTGCTCCGCCAATCCCCCATTCTCATCATGGACGAGGCGACGGCGAGTATCGATTTTGAAACCGCGCAGCGGATTCAGCGTGTGTTGCGCGAGGAGTTGCGGCAGAGTACTGTGATTACGATTGCGCATCGGTTGGAGGCGGTGCGGGAAGCGGACTTTTGCGTTGTTTTGGCCAAGGGGAGGGTTTTGAGGGTGGGGAGGGCGGAGGAGTTGCTTAGGGAGGGGACGGAGTTTAGTGGTATGTTGGCGTGAGGGATGGTGGTGTTGGGGGGTTGGGGGGGTTGGATTGCGCTTTGTGGGATGTGGGGAAAGGGGATTGCAAAAGTGAAGGATGGGGGTTATCTTTGTAGGCGGCGTGGATGGTTGAAGAATCTCGATGGTGGATGGGAAGATGCAAGAACGTGTTGTTGAGTAGTCAAATACATTTTACACCTCCCATCTGAACGATCCCTCATTATATTCCTCCGAGCCTTTTTCCTCGTCTGTGCTTTTATTTTACAGCTGTTTTACCTGCTCGGTACAGAGTACCTATGCTGGTGATGTAACGCATATTTTTTTGTTTTCATCTCACGAGTTCATCTTCGGATCGAAGGGGTTGGATAAATTTATGCACGGCGGCTTGTATGGAAGCCTTGCAAAATGCTAGGGGAAATACATCCGGATGTTCAACAATATACCATAGCGTGAAATGGGATCGTGCGTGAGGGGGGTGAATATCGAGCATGTAGGGACCGGATAGAAGCACACAAATGTCATCACACACAAACAAAAACAAAACCATACCATTATCCACAAACGTCTCAAAACTTTAAAAACTCAACAAGATTACTCCTACATAATATATACACAGGACCTCCAAGGATAATAATGCTCCCTAATAAACACTCGTCCTCCCCTCCCCCCCAAAAAAATTCCACACTAAACCACCCGCAAAACCCTGCAACCTACAACTTACTCCCTCCACCCAACAACTCGGCGCCAGCCCCCGAAATCGCCAACTTGCCCGTCTCCTTGACCTTTGTCTGGAACACAATCGTGTTCCCCGTCTTCCACATCTCGGTAACCAGTGTCTGGCCCGGAATCACGACACCGGCAAAGCGGACCTTGATATTCTTAAACGGCCCAAATGTCTGCAGCACGTGCTTGCCGCTGACGCCAAATGAGGCGAGGCCGTGCAAGATGGGGGTTTCGAAGCCGCCAGCCTTGCTGAATTTGGGGTCGATGTGCAGGGGGTTGAGGTCGCCCGAGAGACGGTAGAGGGCGGCTTGTTCCTCCGACGTCTTCTCCTCGATGACGACGTCCGGCTTGCGCTGGGGTGGTTTGTGAGTCTTGGTTGCGGGACCGCGGTCGGCACCCTTCTTCTGGCCACCAAAGTTGCCAGAGCCGCGGATGAAGACTGTGCTTTCGTTGTAGAAGATCTCCTCGCCCGTCTTTGCGTCCTTTGTGGTGGAGCCGTAGACGACGAGGCCGGCGGCGCCCTTGTCAACGACCTCGACGAGTTTGGGGATGGCGATGAGTTTGGCTTCGGTGGGGATGGGGAACTTGCGTATCTCGAGGAATTGCTCGCCGTGGAGGAGCATGCGCGGGTCGAAGTTGGGCACGATGTCGTCGAAGTTGAATGGGGCTTCGGCGTTGAAGGGTGGAATGACACCAAATGTGGGAATCACTTGGAAGTTCTCGTCGCCTTCGTAAACAAAGGGCAGGTCAGTACGCTTAGCGCCGATTCCGAGGTCTACACGTAATCGTTAGTGAAAAAGGTGGCGGCATACACACAAGACTAAACAACTTACTGTAGAGAATGACATCCCTCTCAGTGTACTCGAATGGAGTTCCCTCCGACTTGGCAGCCAGAGCCTTCTTTTGAGCCTCGAGAACCTCCTCGTTGCTCTTGTTGGACTTCTTCTCCTTCTTCTCCTTCTTGCTGGTGTTTTCCATGTTAGCCATGATGGACTTGAGCCCACTAGCATTGTCATGCGGGTTGTCAGCACGACCATCATCGAAGTTGGTGATGCGCTGCCATTGCGCAAGGACAGCCTCAGGGGTAAGCTTGACATCAATGGGAAAGCCATGACCGCCCGTTCGTTGCCACCTGGTCTGCGCAAACCAACCCGAGCCCATCTCGTACAGTCCACCGGTTGGCTGGGGAGCCTTGTCGGAGACGAGGAGGACAACGAGAGGAGCATTGAAGTCGGGCTTGAGCGCCTGAACGACCTCCTCCGGCATGATGGAGCGGGTCATCTGGGTGCCAGCACTAGGAGCAACGCAGTTGACGAAGATGTTGTTCTTCTTGCCTTCGAGAGCAAGTGACTTGGAGAAACCGATGATCCCGCACTTAGCCGAAGAGTAGTTGGCCTGACCAAAGTTGCCGTAGATACCGCTGGTCGAGGTAGTGTTCACAATGCGTCCGTACTTTTGCTTGAGCATAAAAGGCCATGCAGCCTTTGTGCAAGAGTAGGTGCCAAAGAGATGGATCTTGTGGATGATGTCCCACTGCTCATCCGTCATGTTGGCAAATGCCTTGTCACGGAGAATTCCGGCATTGTTGATGAGGATGTCGATGCGTCCATAGGAATCAATGGCAGTCTTGACGACAGCTTCGCCGTTCTGGACATCGGCCTTGTTTCCAACAGCCTCTCCACCGAGCTTCTGAATCTCCTTGACAACGTCATCGGGATTCACGAGATCGTTGACAACAACCTTTGCACCACGCTTGGCCAATTGCAAGCAGTAGAGACGGCCCAGACCAGCGCCACCACCAGTGACCAGGGCGACCTTGCCCTTGAAGTCGAGCTCCTCACCCTGGGGGTTGGGTGGCAGCTGCCTGGCAGTCTCGAGGAGCTCCATTGGGTTTAGAGGGCCGTCAGGGTGGTCAGCCTTGGAGAAGTCAACGATATCCTTCCACCTCACAGCAACAGCGCTAGGAGTCAGGGTCTCGTCCGTCTTCAAGATGGCACCAGAGGCCCGCTCCCATCGCAACTTGGCAATGTGACCACCACCAGCCTCGAATATTCCATTCGTCTCGGTAGAAGACTTGTGTGTGAGGACGGCGACGAGGGGAACGATCCACTCCGGCTTGAGCTTCTCGAGCACATCGGGAGGCATGACCGTCTCGGTCATTCGGCTAGCGGCGATTGGGGCAATGACATTGCAGAGAATGTTGTACTTGAGGCCCTCCTTTGCGAGCGTCTCGGTAAAGCCGACAAGGGCAAGCTTAGCAGCTATATCAGAGGTTAGCATAGTACGTGGGATGCAACTCTTCTCTTTCTCTACACGTACCAGAGTAGTTTGTCTGGCCGAATGAGCCGAACAGACCAGCAGCGGAGGCGGTGCTAATCAGGCGTCCATACTTTTGTTTCCGGAAGTAAGGCCATGCGGCCCTCGCGCACTTGTAGGCACCCAGAACGTGGACCTTGTAGATGAGGTCCCAGTCCACCTGCTTCATGTTCTTGAAGCTGACATCCCGTAGAATACCGGCGTTGTTGATGAGGACATCGATGCGGCCAAAGGCGTCAATGGCCGTCTTGATGATGGCCTCTCCATTCTCGACTGAGTCGTAGTTGGCGACCGCCTTGCCGCCTGCGGAGCGGATCTCGTTTACGACTTTGTCTGCGGCCTGTTGGATAGTGTCGTCGCGTCAGCCGTTGTTTCTTCGCAATGTTTTCCCTCCACAGAACCAAGACATGTGACACCGGCGACAAACGTCCAAAGCGTCATAATGCCAGTCGTGCCAAAATCCCACCAGGAGAATGCAAACATACCGACGAACCCGCGCCCTCGCCCTTGAAGCTAGCACCAAGATCATTCACCACCACGCTCGCGCCGCGGCTGCCGAAGAAGATGGCATATTCGCGACCAAGACCACCGCCAGCACCCGTTACCACGACGACCTGGCCGTCATACCGCAGATCTTGCGAGGCCATGTTCGCTTCTGTTCGCTTCTGTACGATTATACGCGCTCACACCCTTTGTTGTGTGAATAAAAAAGCGTCTAGCTTGCTGCCGTCTGGTGAAGGGCAGATGAACAGGACCAAGAAGAAATGGGAACGAGGGTATGAATGAAGAACCCGTAGAAGAAACCAGTTGGGAGAGACGAGTGATGGAGGAAGATGGGGAGATGGGGGCGGAGTAGTTACGATATATGTAGGGTATACACGAAGACGAAACCGGCAGATGGGTCGCACTTTAATGCCACTCAGCTTTTGCTATGTTGCGCCAGCCGAGCATGTCGATGACGGGGACGCTTGGCCTGCTTTGCCTCGGTAAGTCGAGGTTGGCGGTAACGTGACTGTGGAGAACGGCCGAATGCCCCAGGACCCACAACGCCCTCCACACGCTTTCACATGCCACACCAACACCAGGCGGTAGGGCAGACCAGGGCAGACCAGGACAGACCAGAACAGGACAAATATCCTGCCAGACCAGCACTGTCACAAGGAAATCCCTCGTTCCTCGACCGTCATGCCATCAGATGCATCAGATGATGCAAAACCCGACGACGAGCGTGGTGTGGGGATGGGAACGAAGATACCTACATCCACCCATCCCATCCCATCCCCTCCCCTCCACTCCCCCGTTCGATTCGAATGTGTATTTCTCTTTTCCCATTTCAAGTCGGCGCAATACACATGGTTGGTACATGCTTTGTTTTCGGTGGGGCTGGGCTGGTGCGGGCTTCTACCCACCATACGGTACCTCACAGTTACCGCCATGTCCCGAGGCTCGAGGCCGTGCCATGGGTACCATAGTTACAAGTACCATAGTCACAAGTTACAACAAAGTCTTCCTTAAGAACACCATGCATGGGTTTTGTGTATTGGATTAGATGCGCGCCTATAGCTATGGTGCTTCGGACTGGATATCATAGGTAGACAGAGCTTGATGACTACCTACCTACTCTACATGATGTCCACATGGTCACTTAGCAGTAGTATTTTCTTTAAGAGCGCGACTCTTGGACAATGGGTACCTCCACCTTTAGCTTTGCACCAGAAGAGCAGACGCCACTTCACAGATGCTGAAGAATTCCAATGAATTCAGACTCATTACTAAGAATGAAAAAAAAAAGGCTGTCTGTCTCAACCCCAACCCCAGATTACTACGGTAGCTATTGAAAGTAACAACCTTGGAGCGTCAGCCTCATGCTTGGCAGGCCAGCGAGGTCTGGGTACCTACCCCCCCCATTTACCGGTACGCTTTGACATCATGCCAGTCCACATTCGGTTCAGTCTCACGATGCGAATTTCGAATCCGGCGCCGTTCCTACATTGCAAAGACTTTCTAGAGAAAGTGCCCATGACCATCCCGAGCCTCTGCAAAAATTTGCAGACACCCTCCAAACGAAAGAGGCCGCCAGCGATCCTGTCGACTTCAACGTCACTCTCAACCGACCCCGTCTTCCGACCGCAATCGCAGCTTGAAAGCTTCACATTCCTGCCTCGAGAGCGTGGAAGAGTGGTTTTAAAGCATACAACATCTTTGACTCTCATTATCCTTGGATGCGAGACGCACGACGATAGCCAGTCACTATTGTGCAATGGCCAAGCAAGACGCCAGTGACTGGCAACGCCTTGTACTGTCACTAGCTCAACAACTCGTCTCCAGTCCTTGCCAGATCTGCCCCAACCCGTGCGTCGTCTTCAGGCATAGAAGACAGTGTTTGGACTCGTTCATCTGACCACAAGGTTCTGCCAGCGCTTCATGCACTAACGTGATCCACCACCGAGCGCCCACCCCCACCGAGCGCCCACCAACACCAAAATCCACCACCCACTAAATAAGGATATTGCGCCACCCACAATAGCTATTATTACAAGATTTCTTAGAGTCGCGATTATTAGATCTATTAGAGTAGATTAAATATTTTAGATTATATAAGCAGCTTTTTAGGGGGTCTAATTAGGCGCCCACGCTGTAAAGTTGCCTCTACTACTATATCCTCTTTGTAACAATAAGGCAGAATTGCCTGCCCATTGTTCCATGCTAAGTCAGGCCTAATAAAGGCCCAACTTACTAATATATATAGAGAACAGCTCGCCTATAGTTAGAATAGGCATGTTCTTCTTGTCCTTTTATACAAGACCTATAGGTGTAGGAATCTTATCCTTTTCTATACAGACGCGCACTCCTATATGCCTTTAAGTTATATAGGATACCTTTTAGATACCCTACCTACCTAAGTTGTTATATTATAAGAAGAATATTATCCTAGCTAGTAATAGTATTTAAGAATATCGCACTTATTATTATTTTAAGCTACTAATTTAGTTCTAGTAGCTACCTAACCCTGTAACTCTATAGTTAGAATAGCTATTAGAACTTCTAATAACTAAAGCCTATAGGCTTAGACTTCTAGACCTATAGGTAGTGCTAGATTACCTTTAGAAAAATCGCGTTAGATTACGTTAAGGTAGAGACCTAGAGACTACTAAAAGCCTAGAGGAATTAGAGGCAAAGCTAATATCCTCCTACAACTAAACCCCCTAAAAGAAAAGAAAAGATTTATTATTCTTATTAACTACAAAATATTAGATAAGGGTAAAGGAAGGGCCTCTAGTTTAGCTACTTTTAAAAGCCTATTTACTAATAGAAAGAAATTAGATAAGGAAGACTTAATTAACAACGCCCTCCTTAAAGGACCTGCTTCCTATCTATCTCTTAAGGTACCTTGTGCTCCTAGGAAATCTTAAAGCAACACCTTCCTTAAAGATAAATATATATTAACCCTATCTAAAAAGAAGAGGTTAGAGGAACAAGTTAAGTAACTTACTAATTAGTTATATAACACCTCCCTCTATAAGGAGATATAGGGTACTACCTAACCTAGCTAGTCTTTAGCTTCTATATTAAACCCTATAGTATATGCTATAAAAGCTAAGAGATAATCTAAAAAGACGCTAAATATCTCTACACTTAGTAATAGTGCTAATCCTACTTTTAGATAATAGTAAGTATCTATTTAGGATAGGCTAGAGATTAACGCTAATTACTACCCCTTTTCTAGAGCTTAGATAGCGTTAGTCTAGGGACACTGCTTAGGACTAGCAAGAGAATACTTAGAGCCACGTTACTTATCTAATTCCCTAAGCCTTTAGTTTTAAAAAGCTAAGGAAATAATTACCCTCCTTTAAACCTACTTTATTACTAGAAATAAGATAGCTAAGAGTTAGACTATATTTAACTACCTGTACATAACTAATATAGAGATGTTCCCTGCCTTTAAGTTATAATTCTAGAGTCTTGCTATTAGAGGAGAAGTACCCTAATTAGAGTAGTATTACTACCTCTAGATAAAGATTACACCTTCCCTAAGGATACTAAACCTTACTTTCTAATAGAATTAGCACAATAATTTTAAGACTATAGTAGATTATCTTACTACTTTTAATATAGAACGCCGCCTATACCCTACCTTATCTACTCCTACCTAGACTACCCTATTATCTAGAAAAGGACTAACTCCCTTCTAACACTCTAGAAACTAGTCCTATTTAGACGCTAATTAGAAACCCTATAATAGACCTTTAATAGCTAAACCTTATATGCCCTATTTGCAACAACAAGGCACTACCCCTTAAAATAATCAACCCCTATCCACTACGCTAGCCACTCCTAGCGCTACTATAACAGGAATCCTAGTAACTTGCTATAATTGTAGAAAGCCTAGGCACTTCTCTAGTAACTGCCCTAAACCCCCTAGGATCCAGGCTATAGATATAGAATAGGGTGTTAAGAATTCTAAGGAAGAAGAAACCACTAAATTAACCAATTTAGATGGCTATTAGACAGGAAACAACAACGCCTAGGAGGATCCTCCTTCCTAGGCCTAACTTGATATAACCTGTTAAACCTTTCCTTAACTAAATTGTTTGTTAGTTCCTATTTGCTTGCACGTACGACCCTATGCCTTAATAGATCTAGTGTTTGCCTAAACGCTTTAGTAGATACTAGGGCCTAAGGTTACTTATTTCTTAATTTAAAAATTACTTATAACATCTCTTCCGCACTTAGGGTACCTATCTAAAAGCTACTATACAAGCTTACTATTAAAGGGTTCTAGGATTAGATTACCTCTCTAGTTGCTCACTACATTTAGCTTTACATAATAGTTAGTAGCTAAAAGGTTTATAACTGCCCCTTTATAATAGTAGACTTAGGTTCTTAGGATTATATTATTAGACAACACTAGCTAAAACAGTTCTAAATCCTAATTAATATAGATAAATCTTAACTAATCTAGCTAGAGAAATATCCTCTAACCTACAACCCCGCTCCTCTAATTCTGGTACAACTCTACTAGCAAGTGCCATCTACTCTAGTTACCCACGACATCTTGCAAAGAGACGCCCTTTAGGATTAAGAGGAGAACCAGAACCAAAATAGTCCTAGTTTAATTAATAGGATACGTAGTATACTTAAAATTCTAGCCACTTATAGGGCTGCTACCAAACCTATTACGCTACCTACCCTAGTCTAATTACTAACTGTTACCCCACCCGCAAAATTTTAAATTGCTACTATTTCTGCTAATGCTTTCTATTTTAATATAAAAAAATCTTCTAATAAATTCTTTACTACTAGCCTGTATAAGATTAAGCGTAGGATCCAAACCCTATCTAAACAGGATACTCTTAAACACAGCTTATTAGATTAGAAGCTCCTATCTAACTACAACTCCTATTAGGACGTCTTTAACAAGGCTAAGGCTAACAAACTTCTAATCCACTAGCCTTACAACCACAAGATAGTCCTAGAGGAACCCCTTCTAAACTACTAGAGTCCCCTCTATTATTAAAATGCTAAGGAACTCTAGGCTACTAAGGAATATGTACAAGAGCACCTACAGAAAGGTTTTATTAAGACTAGTTAGAGCCTATTTGCCTCTCCTATCCTATGCGTCAAGAAGCTAAATAGAGGCCTTAGGATCTGTGTGGATTACCGTAAGCTTAACAGCTTAACGCGAAAGGACGCGTATCGCCTCCAATTGCCACCTAGTTCCAAGATCCATAACGTTTTCTCTCCTAATATACTATACAAAGATCCCCAAGACCCGTTGCCTAGACAAGAGGCTCTAAAACCCCCTAGTACCCCTATACAAGGTGTAGAGGAATAGGAGGTAGAAGAAATCCTAGCTAGCAAATTATACTAATCTAAGCTAAAATATAAGGTTAAGTAGGTTAGATATAATCCTAATCCTGTTTAGTATCCTGCCTCTAACTTTATAGGTGCTCCCTATAAATTACAGGCATTCTACTAATAGTATCTAAATTAGCTAGGTCCCCCACGCAGCTTACTAAAATAGATTTAAGCCTAGGAAAAAGGTAAAGAGGATCTAATATTACTTCACAATAATCACGCCTAATACTAGAACTAATTCATATCCTATTTAGCTACGTATTATCTATTAACTACTATCTATTACTATTATTCTTGTTATTATTTATTATTATATCCTATTTAGAACCTTTAAGGTTCCTAGGATACTACTCCTAGGAAACCTCTTTATTCTATATCTATCTCTCTATTAGAACCTAGTTTAGACTCTGTATTAGCTAAGATAGCGCCTAGACTATCCTTCTTTGCTAGCTTCTAGACAACTAGTGCAGCAGGGATTAGGGCAGGTGCGGGAGCAGTGGTGGGAGCTAGAGCTAATTTAGACGCTTTTTTGTGGAACGTTTTTATCTTAGCCTAGACTAGGAAAGTTACCTCCTAATTTAGTGCTAATTCCTCCTTAAGCTTGTTAATAGCCTTTATTAAGCCCCTAACTACTAAGACTATCTTATAAATACTATTCTAAAGCTAATGTAAATTAGATATAGTAGTATAATAGGTAGCTATAAGGATTTTAGTAGCTTCTATACCCTTAGTCTAAGTATTAGTAATAGTAACGCACTTAGCAAGGTTTTAGGTAGTTTCTTAAATAGCAGCCTTAAACTACTTAATATCCTTCTAATAGGTAACTATAGCTTCCTTATCCTTATCCCCTTTAGCAGGGTTTCTAATTAGGCTATAGTATTCTTCTAGAGCACCCCTAAGGGCAGAGTACTCTTAGCTAATAAAAGAAGGAATCTGCTAGGATTAGTAAAGGAACCCTATTAGACTTAGACACTTACTAGATTGTAATACTTATTCTAGGAGATATAGTACTAGCACTTCTTAGAATTCTTTAACTTAAAATTAAAATTATTAAACCTACCCCTAGCTAGAGCCCTAACTGCTCTTATATAGAGAGCGCGATAAGCGACTAGAAGGACTCCTAGTAGTACTAGTACTAGTATAGCTAAAGGTTCTAATTTAGATTAGTAACTATTTAATTATATAGATTAAATACTTACTAAATTTTAGATAGATTAGGTTAAATAATTAAAAAATTAGGGATATAGGAATAAGAAAGTTAGTAGGTAGAGGGCTAGTTATAGGCAGGCCAAGGATAGGGGTCTGTGCCCTAGGAAGAAGAAGTAAAGGTAAAGGCAGAGGTAAAGGTAGAATTAATTGCAAAAAGCTCTTCTTTAATAAGAGATCTGAACCTAATCCTAAGGATAGGGACTATCCTTTCTCTACAGGAGGGGGTAGTGTAATAATAAGGTAGAATTACCTGCCTATTATTCTATGCTAAGTTAGGCCTAATAAAGGCCTAACTTACTAATATATATAGAGAATAGCTCGCCTATAGTTAGGATAGGTATATTCTTCTTGTCCTTTTGTACAAGACCTATAGGTGTAGGAATCTTATCCTTTTCTGTACAGACGCGCACTCCCATATGCCTTTAAGTCGTATAGGATACCTTTTAGATGCCCTACCTACCTAAGTCGTTACACTCTTCTACTAGCTCCTTATTAACCACCTTAGCTAGTATAATAGTAGGAGGCTTAAGGATTTACCTCTTACCTATTTAGGATATTTTAATATTATTTTAGAGTTACTTTTCTAGTTACTTAGTAGTTTTCTACTTATTACGTGTAGTAGCTTTTTAGGTAGCTTTCTCCTCCTACTCTTTCTTAGTAATTACTTAATTTAGGTAACACTCCTTTATAAGTTAAGCTTTAGTAAGCTTCTATTACTTATAAAGCTTAATTACCTTGCTTTTTTAGTATTATAGCTCCTATTCTTTAAGGTTCTTTTACTTCTAGAGCTTAAACACTTGCTCTACCTTTAATAGTAAAATAAATTAGGCACTACTACTATAATTATTATTAGGGGGTAATAATAGAGGTTTACTACACTTCCTACGCTTCTTCTTATTAGCTAGGGTAGCCCTTAGGTGTTTATTTTTATAGTTAAGTAGAGTATTTCTTACTAATATAGTATAGATTATCTAGCTAAGCTTCTTTAACTATTTATTATAGATATTAATTATAGTATTATAGAGTAACTACTCTATCTTTCTCTAATTACTTATACTTAATATTAAGGTTATACTATTACTTAAAAAAGGCTAGTTATTATTATTTATAGGTACTTTAAACCTTAAAAGGATAATATTAGGGTTAAGTGTAACAAGGCTAGGCTAAAATAGCTAGCGCTTACTAGATGCCTAGGCTAGACTTGAACAAGGTTCATAGGTTGGCACTAGGGTCTAGCACTATTATCTGTTGAGATATATATATTATACTATGCGAGGATTACTTAGCTTAAGTATTCTCGTGCGTACCTTTTGGACCATGGCCGAATTGGTACAGACAGGGGAGATGACGTAGTATTCATTTCATAGGCAGGGCGCCTACCTTGTTACATTAAGTAGTAAGATACCTATTACTTTAAAAGCTATTAATATTAGCTTTTCCTTAAAGGTATTACTCTATATAGTATTAAATAACTAGTAGAAATCCCTCTTAGTAATACTTATAAGCCCTTAGGAGCTATCTAGAAAACTAGATAGTTAAGCTTTATATAAAGCTATAAAGGGAGTAAATACTATAATATTAAGTAGCTAAAGGGTATAAGTGCTATAAGGGGGATATATTATAAGTAGGATCTTATATTTATTATAGTACTTAATAAACTCTATTATTATATAAGATCTATAGCTATTAAGGATAAGGAGCTAGTATAAAGTATAAGCTTTAGCTTTTATCTTGTAATTAAACACCTCCTTAAGCTAGGATACCCCTAAGGTGTAGCTTATCTACCTACTTAGTAATCCTATAAAGAAAGCTTAGTATTATAATAGGTTAAAATCTTATAACTAGGTATCTTATAAAGCTCTAGATTAGGACTAATAAATAAGGGTAGGAGTAAGAGTAGTACTATTAGCGTATATACAAGCTATAGTAGTAATCTACTCCCTATTACTATCCTAGAGTATAGCTCTAATCTTTCTCTACTTATAGGCGCTCTTATTAAATATACGTTTAGTTTTTAATAGTACTCTAATAAGAAAACCTTTCTTATCTATATTATAGATATACTAACTCTTAATATTATATTACTCTATTTTTTAGTATAAAAGCTTAAAGTATAAGCTATACTTAAAGGTAGAATTAGCTTTAAAGTAGTTATAATTAAGCCTAGTAGCCTAATAGAAGATAAGATTAATATTATAGCAGTTAATAAAGTACTATACCTAATTTTTACCTACTAGATTCCTTATTATTTTAGTTATAAAATTTTAAATAATAGTCTATATAAGGGGTAATCCTTACCTATAAAGCTCTTTAATATACTTTATAAGCTTGCTTTCTTATATAGTATTAAGTATTTAACTATTTAGTAAAGTAGTAGTATATACCTACTAAATTTTCTAGTAGCGTCTAGATAAGGTTAACTATAAGTAACTATACTTTTCTACTATTTCTAAGTATGTAAAATCTTCTCTAAGAGTTAAGGATTTAATTGCTGCAAGCGCGTCGTTAATAGGTGCTATAGTTATTAAGAAATTTGGTGTTAAAAATTTGGTGATTTTGGTGTTGGTGGGCGCTCGGTGGGGGTGGGCGCTTGGTGGTGGATCACGTTAAATGTCTGAAAGAAAAAGTAACCTGCTCGAGCTTGACACTCGGTAATGAGGCCCACTCGCACTTCCTACATGTACACTTCCTCCACTCGATCGACCAAGCCGATATGCGAATTCGAAGCCGATAGAGTAGGCTCATCAATGATCATGATCAATCAACCATGTCCCCAGCCGGGGTCTCATACACAATCTTTTTGCTTGTCTCTTTGCTACATCAGCATACAGATTTCAGTCATGAGACTGTAACGCTCCACTCTAGGACACCGCCCCTATGGCCTTGATACAGCGACTAATGGGCATCATTTCATGAGTCGTGCTGGATGGCTTCGAGAGGTTACGCTGGGTTATCACGTGTGGGGTGGGTATGCCCCTGATGGCTGGCTCCCGCTCGTATATGCTGTGAAACAGCTCTGTGCTTTTCTTGCTTCGCGTTAAAATAGCGAAAATTCAAGAAGCTGCGCCAGCAGTGCAACTTGTCAACTTTCATATTTTCCATGGATTGGCGCTTCAATGTTGCATTACCTAGTGGCATCCTGCCCTAGATAAAACTTGTACCTCTTTGACCTAAATGGAGAGTCAGTCGCGCCCGTCCAGCTTACTATGTCTCGGGCTCAACGGTGTACATGGTATAATGAATGACCGCTGATAGTCCCTACCTGACTTCCAACTCCAAGCGGCCGAATGATGCTAAACTCAAAAGGTGACAAGCGCGATCACGACAAAAGGGCTACCGGATGAAGAATGGCATTTGGCGAGCCATGGTGAGCTTATTGTCCCGTCGAAGCGCATTTTACTGAAGTAAGCTTCATAGTTTAGGTTTCTGTCCATTTATCTTTATCAATATCAGGATTTCCCAGGGGCTTTGATGAAGTGTGTGACTATGAGTAGCCCACAGCAAAAAGCCTCATTGTCTTCATACTGTCTGCTTTGCTTGAAATTCAACAATGGCGTGGTGGTGTCTAAAGTTGCTACAGGTCATGCGCATCCTCATGAGTGCGTGCTATATCCATGTCAGCGTGTTCTTGCGTATGGTAATCAAGGGCGGACTAGCTGTGTTATCGGCCCATCAAGCGTCCGATCGGGTTCTATTTGCTCAGGCTACGATCAAAAGTACTCCCAATGGAAATGGAGGGCCATTGCCATCTCGACTCGAGTGTGCCGAAATCGTACTGCCCAAGCAGACCAGGGTGCGCAGCAACCACAGCCGCTCAGGGGTCATTTGGTTCGCTGTGACCCGCTTGTGCTATTCGCTGAAGAGGCGGTGTCCATAATTGTCCATTGGGCTAATCCCGGCACTCCGGCATGCCGCATACGAAGAGAGGCAACAGATCATTGCACTACAAAAGTCGAGTCGTTGTAGAGGAGATCAGATTGCCGAAGAGGGTCAGGCAGCCCTTGAGTATCTTTGAGCAAAAAAATGCTGCAACCCTAGACTTTCGTAGGATCCGTGTTGCAATAGGAATCATAGCAATACTGGCAATGCTCCAATATGAGTACATGGTCGGCCATATAGTGGGCGATTTGGACCAGTGACGTTTGCATTTCGCCACGGGACGTTGCTTTCGCGCATGGCGTCTGTCGAATCGTGACAAGTAGCCCTACGCCTAATGGAGGCTGCCACACACAGGTTTCTGACATACTCCAAGTCAGTCCGATGCTTCACACTAGGTAATCATTCAACGATACTAGATACTCTTACTGTCGAACAATCGTCCAGTCAAGAAGATTATTGTTGATCATGAGCACGGATACGGAAAGGGTCGACGTACTTGGCAGGACTTTCCAGAAAATCTCCATCGATGATAGCATTTACTTCGCGCCTGTCGCTATCGACGATCGTGAGGAAGATCGATTGGCCGCTCAGCATGACATATTCTCAAGGCTTCTTGGGGATAGGCTTATCACCCGCAAGATTCCCCTGGCAGACCCTCGCAGAGTCCTTGACTGCGGATACGGTAGCGGCGACTGGTGTGTGCAATTTGCCGAGGAATATGAGGAGAGCGAGGTGCGTAAGCTTTAATCCTTCTTCTCGATCACTTCCGGTACTAACCCTGCCAGGTGACTGGCGTTGACATCTTCCCTTTGCACGTAGCAGATCAACCCGAGAATTTGACGCTTTGCGGTTACAACCTGAACGATCGTCTTCGAGACCCCGATGTTTTCCAGGCCCGAGCTTACGATCTCGTACACTCCCGATTCTTGTGTCCTGGCATAAAAAGCAATAGATGGCCGTCGTACATTGGTGATATAAAGCTCTTGTTGAAGCCAGGCGGCTGGCTCCAGGTAAGCTGCAGCCTCGAGTTTCGTCTGGCCGTTTGCTGAGAGGACTGACCACCACAGATGGTGGAGTACTATCCCTTGATCCAGTCTGATAGTGGAAGACTCACAGAACAAGCTGCCGTGAGACGTTGGTGGTTGGCTTACGAGAGCTCTATGCGGAGACTCAACCGAGATCCCAGAATAGGCCGCAGATTACAGCAAATGATGGCCGAGAAGGGCTACCGAGATGTCCAGGTGGAAATCGAACGATTGCCTATAGGCGGTTGGCAGTCAGGTATGTAAGCATCTTCGTCGTGGCTTTGCTCGTAGCCAATGATGGTGAAGATTCATTTGTCGTTTTGCTGTGAAGAGTCCAGATAGTTACAGGGTAATGGGGTCATGTTGATGAACATGGTGTCTGAATTTGGAAGGCCAAGAGACGTTGTCGGCTGCGTTTACTGATAGCTAGTGATGTGTTCCAAAGCTAATGGTACCTCGGCAGATCCTGTCAAATCCAGTATTGGTAGAGATGCGGTAACAGTATGCGAGGCTAATTTTAAAGATACTCTGTTATATACTAATGTGCTCAGATGATGTCCGATCTTCTCGAATCACTTGGTCTCTGGCCATTTACCGCCAATCTCGGCTGGACTGCTGCCCAGTATGATGATCTCATGAGTGAGATTCGCTCAGAGCTTCAGAATGAAGATCTGAAGTTGTACATTGATATGTGAGTGTTGTTGATGGTGTCCTAGGGCTGCCACTGAGACTGCTGACAGATACGTCGCTCGAGGTCGTCGGAGTACCGGCGGATGAGGGGTCCCTCTACGTTACGGTGCGACTATCTGTCCTATATTCTGATAGGAAGTGCGAACCGGGCTCTTGGATAGGCTAGTCCTTTCTCGTTTTCGTGATCGATGCTAGAAGGACGCATTTTTTGGTGTGGAAATGGCTATAGTTCTGTCCTTTGATATCATGATCAGCGACAAAGCTCACAGACTTCTCATCGTTCTCACATTGTTCGTGACCTAGCTGAAACACTCACTGTGGAATCAATCCTGACTGGTTCAACCAAGGTGCCGCTCTCATAAGGCTATTGCTCAAACTCATGGGACGTAGACTGGCGTCCCTCACTCGGCCCTGTCCTAGGTGCCTTGCTGATACGGCTTCCCCATGCCTGTCGTTGTCCTAGGGCAGACGCGATAAAATAACAGCAGACCTCTTAAGCTTGACTGAAGGCGGCCAGTTTCGATCAGATGGATGGGGTGTATCCCAAACGTGATGTCAGACTAGCTCAGGTAGTGCTCGACAGCGGAACTACCCCCAGAAGCTCCATGAACATTCCCGCAATCATGCTCGACGCCACCTATCGACTCAATTTTCGCGAACTCTGATTAATAGCGAGGACAGCCGTCGATTAAAGAGTTGGTCAGGACACTCGCAGGTGTGCATACTAGCGCACTGTCCATGACGAACATGCGCTTGGACTGGCGGCAGGGAGATGGGCGCAGGCGGGTACGACTAAGTCCGCCGCTGACAAACAAAGTTCATGGCAAGAATTTCGAACAGTCGACAAGAGATGGAAATAGGGTGAAAGAGAGAGAAAGAGGGAGAGAGAGAGAGAGAAGAGTGCGGGGTCGAGTGGTGCCAACTTAGTTTGGTCCCTGAATTTTGATTCCAAGCATAGGTAGGTACGATACGGTACGGTAGTTGAGTGACTCGAGAGAAGGAGCTCCCAAACTCACCTCCACCTCCTGGATAACGAGGTCAAAATCCAGAATCAGCTCTCCCTGTTCCTTTTTCTTGGCTGGCCGTGATGGGGCAATTCGCGCAGCTACATTTTCAGCCCTTGCATGATTGGTAGTACCTATTCCTTCACCCCAAGCCAGGCCACCGGCAGACTGGTAGCGAACGCGATCTTATGGAGACACATGGCGCGTTCATAGACATCCTTCACGCCTTTTCCACAGGCTATTAACTACAGCAAATCACCGGCCTTGCCAGCACTAACCAGGGGTCGCAGCAACCCAAATTAACAAGAGCTCACCCTTTCATTCCATCATCCTCTCCCTGGCACTTTCAACCCAACTGGTTCTCCATCACCGTTGAAACCTCAACCTGCTGCCTTCTGAAGCGGTTAGGAGTATCCACCAAGCGTCGCCGTAAGGCTTAAGCGCGTGCATGCCGGGGAAGCGGGATCCCTTGAAGACACACGCACATACCGGTAGATAGCCTAACAGAAGTGTGACACGGCGATGTCGCCGCCGCCCGCGATGTTGTCCTGATCTGCTAGCGATTCGGAAACATGTGAACGGTCTCGCTTACCGTAATAGGTACCGGTATGGCCTTCATTCCACCGCCATCAGAGGCCATTGCCATGCTGGTTCGTCCAGTCCAACAAAGTATATACAAATAGTTCGCTCTTCCATCTATCTGGAGAACCAAGCGCAAGGCATACACAACGTTGAACTGGTCCGATCTCAGTAGCGCGTATTGACCGAAGAAACACCGGGGGTCCTTTCGCGCCTTTACATCCTTGAGTCGCAACACATCGATGCGATCACGATCATTCCCCCCATTCAGCCAGGGCCAAGTCTCTCGGGATCATTCTCAAAGCAAGCGCTGCTATGGCAAGCGGTCCTTTTGCGGCATTATGGGCTACGGGATTTGATCGCTAAGGACTGCCTTTAAGTCTTTGCACATGAAAGCTGCTAGACGGTCGTCAAGTCAACAGGACGGTCCTGCCGACATCCGAACTGTTGCATTTTACCATAACTCACTCCTCAAGAGTAGGTACCGGTAGGGTCCATCCTTTGGCCTAGGCTTGGCAGATCATGCTGTCTGTGATGGCTATGATGACATGACAGGATAACATTACTGTTCGAGGAGAAGGATATACTTACTTGCATAGGCTTATACCTTCCTATACCGCTCTGATTCAATCATTCAAGATTGCCTTTATGGATATTCAGGGCAGTATTCATCGAGCCTACCAATCCGCATCCTCAATATGTCAATCATCCCCGAAGAGAACCACACCGCCAGCCTGTCGCACAGCTCGACGATCTAATTTTCCGACAGTTTCCCTGTTGTCCCTCCACCATGCACACAGCGCTTTTCATCCTTGACGTTGAGGCTGCCGGAATATTTATTTCTATGACGCGCGCCTTTTAGCCTGAACCCGAAGATCTGAGACCAAACACCGTTAGCTCTTCACAATCGACATCCTTCTCGACCATCTTTCGCGCTTGCTGCCCATCAATGATTCCCCGCAAGCCAGTCTCAAATGTACCGTAGTCATAGATGACTGCTCCTCATCCCAGTCCGGACTCCGCATCGCCGGTTGAACAGCGTCTAGCGCCCGGCAACGGCTCCACCGGTCGCCGCCATGCTGCAGGTACAAATACCAGAAGCTCGCGACGTGAGGAGAGATTCCGATACCCAGGGTCTCAAAGCTTACCATGAAGTGTGACTGGACGGCGAAGCTTTTGGTCGCCAATTTGGCATTTGCAGTGAGCGATGCACGACGAGCTGCTCAGACATGGGAGGAGGGAACCTTCAAGACTCTAGTCACATTTGGTGACAGTTTTACGGACGAGAATCGCTTGGGGTACTTCATCAACAACAACGGGTCTGCGCCACCAGTAGCCTGGGAACAGCCCATCGGCTTGAGAACAGCAAGCGGTGGCCTCACCTGGGCTCGCTATGCCAGCATCTATGCCAACGCCACGCTCTACAACTACGCCGTCTCCGGCGCCGTCTGCTCCAACGAAGTAACCCCTCGCACCTTTTCCACTATCAACGCCCCCTTCCCCGACATTGCAGGCTACGAACTCCCAGCCTTCCTCGCAGACTCCAAAGCCCTCACCCAAAACGGCACACGCTTCTTCACCGGCGAGCCCTCCAGCACCGTCTACGCAATCTGGATCGGCACAAATGACCTCGGCAACAACGCCTTCCTCACCGACAGCCAAGTCGCCGGCAAAACACTCAAAGACTACACCGACTGCGTCTACGACCAAGTTCTCCGTCTCTACCAAAATGGCGCTAGGAACTTCGTCCTACTGAACTTGACGCCCTTGGATATCCTCCCGCAATACGCCTCCCCAGCCATGAACGGTCTGCCCGCAACCCAATTCTTTCCCGACAAACCCCTTTTCAACGCCTCGGCTCTCCACGGACGCATGCAGCAATCCGTCTCCGCGCTCAACGAAATCTATGCCTTCCGCACGCCCTTTGCCGCCCTCGCCGACGCCCGTTATGCAGGTGCCCGGTTCGCCAATTTCGACGTCAATCGCCTATTGACCCACCTGTACTACAACCCCGCGCAGTATCTAAATGGCACAACGCCGTTGAATGTCCAGGGTGTGCATCGGTTGTGTGATGCGCAGAGCAGGAATTGCACGGTAAGTGGGGATCCAGATAGCTTTGCGTGGTTCGATGCGTTGCATCCTAGTGAGCAGACGAATCGTGTGGTGGCGAGGGAGTTTGTGCGAGTTGTGGGCGGGCTGAGTGAGTATGCTGAGTATTGGGGCTGATAGGTTGGATGCGGGGAGGAGTACGTGTTGAGTTCAAGTACAATACTAGACAGAGTTCGCACTTGAGTCGTTCTCGACTTGGAGGAACAGAGAGGCCAGCGGATTGAATCCTAGTTACACACACTTCCAGCCATCCAATGCTCTTTGCAGCATAGCACCATCTACTAAGCACCGCCGTCACACAAGTGAGAGTGATGCGAGCACAAAAACCCACTCCCATAAGCTGCACCCGTATTCCCATGCCCCGTACAGCGAAGCCCTTCGGACGGCAGTGCACTGCAGAGACAGCCCAAGAGTCTGGCGCCATTGCATAGTTCATTATTCTGCAACAAAATCGACGGACTCCAGACTCCAAGGGCCTCGAACATAAAGCAAGCAATCAGGAATAGCCATGGCAAATATAATGGTGACGGAATAGTACGCGTAAGCGTGTCGTTCCAATGTAGCTTGTGGTTGTATGTCATGACTGGGTGATATAGGTATAGGTATGAGCTGAGCTAGCTTCGGTGCATCGTTTGTGGGGCGCGGCGTGCACTATAGATTGGGATGTTCTTCAGATATTGAAAGCCGTTGTCATAGTCACTGTCTCATACCATGGTATATGTTCAGCCTGCTATGGCGGAGTGCAAGCGATGCATGTGATGAAGATGGCCGGAAAAGGAAAGTGGGTCTGGGGAGACAGGGTCGGAACAAGGGTCTAACTTGACTGAGATTAGCGCGACGCGCCCTGGAGATTCACCAGTTGACGCGTTTCATGCAGCCGACACCCTCTGGCACGTGCGAACCCTTTCAACAAATACAGGGCATCTAGGCTATAGAGCATGAAGAGTGTATATACCATGCCGCAAACCAGTCAATAGCATCATTACCATTGGATGCACAGCTCGAGTTGCACCATGGACGACTCTCCCCGATCTTCCAAACGCAGAAAGATTGACACGCCAAAGCACATTGCCTCTCTCCAGGAAAAGACGAAGACAGCAACGAAAGGCACGCCCAATAAGCCGCAAGGCAGACTGGCCAAGAGTACGACAAAGAGCACTCGAGCCAAGGAGGCAGCAGCCGAGGAAATCGACATATACGATGACATTGAGGGGGCATTGGGTGTCAAGCCTTCGGCACCGAAACGTGCACAACCTCAGACAACATCGCGTGCAAAAGCTTCGAGCAGCGGAGGACATCCTGATGAGCTTCAGGACACTCCCGTGACTGTTAAACGAGGCAGAGGTCGGCCCCCAAAGGCACAAAGCGCAAGCCGGACTGCCTTTCGAAACACTGTCACGAGGTACAAGGCTGGATCAGAGGCAGAGGCAGAGGTCGAGGTCGAGGTAGACACTCAGGACAAGCTTGCTGAGCAGGCCCCTTCGCCCACCAACCGTTCGAAGACCGCGCGAACACCAGCCAAGTCAGCTCGGAAGCCAGCTGCACCAAGGAACCGCGTCCGTGGGAAGAAGCAGCCGACACCGGGACAAGATGAAGAAACTCCAGCGACACCTTCGAGATCAATTAGGCGACGTCCACTGCCAAAAGCGAAAACTACGGCCATTACAGAATCTGCAGATGAACTTGCCGATCCAGTCCTCGCAAGCAGTCGTAAACGCACAGCAAGTACACGTCGGCGCTCGAATCGCACCGATCACATTGATAATGGGCAACAAGGACATTTGTCTGATATCGAGATGGAAGTTAATGAGTATGCCGACGCCAACAATAACGATGAAGAAGGTGTTGATGGCAATAGTCTCGTGGGTAGCGTCCTCGATCCTACCGAGCCCAGTCCCTTCAACAAGCCTAGTTCAGCACAGAAAGATACCCAAGCACCTCCTCTGATATTCGGTGAATTTGCTGCTGGGAAAGGCTTGGACCTACTCAAGACTATTGTTATGGATCGCATCACTGGTAGACGGCCTTCGCCTCTTGTTGGTCTGGACGACGAGTACAAATCAGTGTACCAGGTTGTGGAACATACCATCACTGCGGGCGAGGGAAACTCGATGCTCGTCATCGGTGCGCGAGGTAGTGGGAAGACGGCACTGGTCAATACAGTTCTGTCAGAGGTCGCCAAAGACAATAGTGGTGAATATCACGTTGTTCGACTGAACGGCTTCATACATACAGATGACAAGATTGCACTACGTGAGATCTGGCGGCAACTAGGCAAAGAGATGGAGGTCGAAGAGGACGGCAGTGGGCCTGGCAAGAACTATGCCGACACGCTTGCAACTTTACTAGCACTCTTATCGCATCCTTCTGAGCACACGGGCGAAGTTACAGATCAAGTGGCGAAAGCAGTCATCTTCGTCATGGACGAATTCGATCTTTTCGCCCAGCACCCGCGACAGACGCTGCTGTACAATCTCTTTGACATTGCGCAATCCAGAAAAGCCCCCATCGCCGTCCTCGGTCTCACCACACGCATCGATGTGACCAACAGTCTGGAGAAACGAGTCAAGAGTCGGTTTAGCCACCGCTTCGTCCATCTCAGCCTCGCCAAAACCTTCACTGCCTTTCAAGAAATATGCAAAGCCTGTCTGCTTATCCAACCAGAACACCTCACCATTGAAGAGCGTGGGATACTAGACCAAGGCATGAAATCCACCCCTCAAAAGAAGGTGGGGACAAAAACAACATCCACCACCCCCTCCATCCTCTCAGAATGGAATACCACCGTCTCTGTAAGTGCCCTCCCCCTCGCAGAAAAATTGCCCTAAACTAACGCTCCCCCAACAGCAACTCTTCCTCTCCTCCACCTTCCTAACTACCCACCTCGCTCCAACCTTCTACACGTCCAAATCTACCCCGAAAACCCTCTCCTCCTTCCTCCTTCCCCTCTCCAGCCTCTCCTCCTCCACCCCCTTCTACCCCACTCCTCCTCTCACCCCTCCAGACTCAAAACTCTCCCTCATCCCCCATCTCTCCACCCTCGCCCTCTCTCTCCTCATAGCCACCGCTCGCCTCGACATCATCCACGACACTGACACGGCAAACTTCAACATGGCATACGACGAATACGTCACCCTGGCTTCGCGCGCCCGGATCCAGAGTGCGGCGGGCGGGGTGAGCGCCAGTTCCGCCCAGAGCAAGGTTTGGGGGAAGGAGGTGGCGCGCCGCGAGTGGGAGGGTTTGTTGGGGTTGGGGCTTGTAATGCCCGTTGGGGTTGGTGCGGGAGGCGCGTTTGGGATGGTGAGGTGCGATGTTAGTCTTGAGGAGGTGGGGGAGGTGTTGAAGCGGGGGAAGGAGAGGGGTTTGGAGAGGTGGTGTAGGAGTCTTTGAGGGGTTTGCATAGTTTTATGATTGGGTGTGCTTGTTTTGCGACTTGGGTGCATGCAGAGGCATCGTAGGTAGCCTTCATATGCATGAATCGTGTCTATCATACGGTTTGTGTAGATGGCATTGTAGGCAATATTCAGAATTCGACACGGCACTTTTTATCACATCATCTTCTATCAGAGCAGATTACAGCGACCAACTACATCTTCCACAGTCCACTTACCCTTTGGCCTCACTCTTGTCTAGTACTCAATGCTGATCAAGTCCATATATGGGGTGCTGGTCCAGTCCGAACGTGTCACACTTTGTCCGCCAGTGTGATAGTGGACGGAGACAGAATTGTTACTTCTGCAGCACCTGTGGCAGTCGGATTCTACATGCGCAAATCATAGAAGGTGGCTATCCCGAAGTTGTCGCAGTGAAAGGCGGTCTACTAGAAGGCCTCGACTGGAAAGGGGCAATGCACATCTTCTGTAAAAGTGCTGTCGTACCCATTCCTGATGGCGTCAAGAGATGGGAAGCGGAGCCCGACTTTGGACACCGTCAAGGAGATTAAAGAACCCTGCAAGTCGCACCTGAGCTCAGGCATGTGGCTCAGTACTCTGAGAGAAACCAGCATATCGCCGCACATTGTTTATGCTGACCCGCTGATGGTATGAAACCAATCTAATGCTCATCTGGAATCTGTTC